GCGTCGCCGAGATGAGGATCTTCGGCCGGGCTGGGAGGGGCGGCCACCTTAGCGTCGGATGCCCGCCGATCCGCCTCTAGCCCGAAACACGCCGGCGCCGGCGCAGCGTTCTTTTTTTTTTTTTTTTTTCTCTACCTTGGATTTGGTGCTCCTCTTTTTCATCCCGTTGGTGTGTTCACAACCGCTCGTTCGTTGGACGACACTTCTCCGTGAGCTCCCTAGCCGACGACACTAGATCCGGGCGGCTGTTTGTGTTTTTTTTTTCCTCTGGCGGCTTTTTCTCTGTCGATACCCAATCGCTATTCGTTCTAGAAATCGGGCCGTTGAGGCGAGGGAAACGTGTGATTCTCCATTCGTGTGCTTTCAAAACGGTGGTTTAGTTCGTGATCCGGGAGGACTCATCGGATCTCGTTTGGTTTCTTGGAAGCGATCTCGATCATAGACGCACGCGACGTTACTAGTCACAGTGTCACACCAAAAAGGTCTTGTCGACGGCGGATGTGGTCGCTTCTCATTGCCTGCTTGCTCTCCCTTTCCCCTCGCGTTTGTTGTGCCCCCACACAATCTCTCTCAGCTTCTTTTACACACGCCCCCCACCCACCAAACCTCCCTTGCCGCCGCCAACTACGCAAGTGGCGGTTTCAGCTTCACTTGCCCATCTCGCCAAAACTGCATGCTTTTGGTTTTTGGGTGGTGAGGGAAAATTTGATCGTCAGGTACCGGGACGGGTGCATCGGAAACATTTGTGGAGCTGGAAAAAAAAAAAGGGGATCTTCATTAGCCGTTCGTTTCGAGGCGAAGCGGGAAGGGCAGGCACGCGAGTAATTTGGGTTTCCTGGGTTTCCTGGGTTCCTGGGTCTTTCCCGGGGTGGCGGAGAAACATGGCTGGCGGCTGAGGGGTTTGGGAGCTGTCCAGCTGAAGACGATCTCATCCTTTGGCAGAGGGTTTGGGGTTGTGCTGTCTGGGTCTGGTTGCCTTGTGCGACAACCCCGGTCGCACGGCGGTGGAATATCTTTAGGAACTTGTTGGTAATGATGTCAGGGGAAGAGGGCAGAAGAGAAGAGTTGGTTAAAGAGGTGGATCAACGTACATGGTATTACACACGCACAAAGAGAGACCCGTTGCTGGCGTTGACGTCAGTGACTTTGAGGGTTTACTGAACAGAGGGTTGGGCGGCGGCTCAATTTGGGTTTTGGGATACACATAATTGGGGTTGTACACATAGAGTCAAGGCATTAGATCTCGGGTGGTATGGTGTCTTTATGGCTCGGAGTTCCGTGGCGTTACTTGTTTCGGGACGGATAGAGTCCTGCTAATTGAATGACACTCGTTGAAACGATTGGGTTGTCCGTCTTCTTATATCTCCAGACCGGAAGCTTCTTCTACTGCCTGGTGGGCACCAACTGCGAATGTTATCATCTGACTGCCACGGCCGGCCAGGCGGTTGCTCGGATATAAGATCAATACGTAGCTTGGCAAATCAAACATGAGAGCGGAAGCATTATTCTCGGGTAGATGCCGTATTAACTTTATCAGCGACCTGCTTCTGTTCAAAGAACCTGCATAGCCTATCTATGAATGTGCGATCTGTACGAAAACCAGATGATCAAATCAAGACCTGTGCCCTGAGTGAGGTTAAGTTTAGTATCAGATCAACTGCGAGACAAGACCAAAAGTCCGAAGGAGTGTTTCTCTCAGGCCATCCTTCAATGTTCCGATGACGTTACCATAACTATGACCTTGACATGGGAAACAGTTGTTTGTCGACGATTTATCATTATGTTACTCTACGCACCTCTCGAAGATTTCCGCATAATTCAGTTTGTCCAAGTTGAAATGACTGAATGACGCTACATCTGTAATAATGGAAAGTATGGCCCTGTCCTCCGTAGGTAATCTTGGCTTCTTTGCGATGGCGAGAAAGCGTAACAGCTTTAGTGCTTAAGATACCAAGCTCATCTTGAAGCATGTTCTGAGTCTTCATGACACAGGACGCAGTCTCCAAAGTTACAAAATCTAGACCCTCCCTCATAATCATTGATTTCAAGGAGCAATGCGCATACGGTTAGGTGCTCAGTCACCACGATGACGAGTTGTCAAATACCTGCCTGAAGCAGACGCTGTGTGGTTAGAAATGCTTGCGAATTTTGCTACTAATAGTCCCTTTATCGCATGCTTCAGCTCATCTTTTGAGCTCGCTAAGACGTGGATTCTTAATCGGCGCCAGCATTTAGACGTAGACGGTCTGTCTGACAAATCCGTAAAGCCGTGGTATTTAGTATTTTATGCCATCAACATTCCCATGCAATCAATATTCTTGCGCTTTCAAGATTTTATTTGATTCAAGCTTCTTTATTCTTTCTATCCTTCAGTAGTCTTTTTCCAACATCCATTAGATAGCCTGATTGCCGTCACTCACTGCCGTCTACGGTCGTTGTCTCCGATCTTCGTCTGGAGTGGTCGTCTTGTTTATCCCTGACTGTATCGCCTTATTCGTTGCCCCCAGACCTTACTCTTCGCCATCATACCGAACGACTGTCGTCGAACTGCAGCAGTCATGGGTTCTGTCTCTTAGAAGCGGAAGAAATCATCAGTTTTGGCTGCTCTAACCTTCTTGGCCTGGATTGTCCGTGGGATCCGCCAACCTAGCCTTGAACGCATCACGTATGTATCTTTCTTGAACTCCAGTTGAATAAAGAATTTGTTCTCACACGCACGTACAGCATAAAACGCTGCTGGTACAACATGTCATAATACAGAGACCATTTAGGTACTTCAGTTTCAAACCAACAAAGTTCCTCTGCGAAAAGCTTAGCAAACCCGTGCCATTCGTTCTTATCGAGTAGCTCTTTGATGAAAGACTGGCAGGCGAGGTTCAATTCCCCGCAAAGCAGTTCCGTTATTGGCCCTCGAAATCTTTCAAGCCTAGAGATGCTGAAGAGAAAGAAGACGAGACCTCAACAAGCCAGGAAGGAAAGCAGAATTTTTCATGGAAGGGGAAGCGGACAGCGTTGGCTTGTCCCTTTTGAATAATGCATAATGGGGAGAGATGAACTGGAACAAGATAGCATTATGGTAGGTACTCTTAATTTTGCGCTGCTGTGTGTGGTCAACCAACACCTAGGTTATCAGAAGACCATAAGGTGGTGTTCCATGGGTATGTGGCTTAATTAGACCATCTCAATCAAAGACCTCCTTTCGAGCAACCTCCTCGACTCAGACTACATAAATTTGCACAGTCAGTTGCATGAGGAGCGCCGACACCACCAACTAAACGGTCCTGAATTCTTTATCTACCTCTGCTTTCACTCGCTCATCTGGGCCTCCAGCCACAATCATGGCCTGCAAAATCGCCGGCTGCATCAACTGTTGCCCTTAGACTTGACTGGTTACAGACGAGAAGCCAATACCAGGCGTTCAACAAGACGAGGGTACTTCGGGGTCTGCGCGTTACAGATGCTGGCCGCGTAAAGGCAATCCTCCATTTTCCCAACTACTTTCCTTCAAAGCTGTAGCTAGCGATAATTACACGTCTTTTGGATCCTCAAAGTCTGTGTCGGAGTATGGGCCCGACGTGGTCAAAGGATTTCAACGCCGACCGGGGCTGCCGAAGTGATATCCCTGAAAGCCGGACACTTTTGAGACCCCCAAACGATCTACGAACCAGTTACACCTCTTCTTGCTTGGTGTCGCACTTGCTCAAAGCGTCAGGCCAAAACCCGAATAGGCCTTGAGACACTTCCTACGGCCCTTCTTTAGGTTTTGCGAGTCATTCGGTTCGTCGCATGTTGAGTAGCCCTCAAAGCTTGTCTTCAGTCGGGACGTTCGTAAAGCTTTCCCATAGAGAAATCCTATCTACTAACCCGCACAAAAAAGCGATTACGCGGAATGTGACACAAGTAACGACCCAAAAGACCCGAGAAATGCGCGTGTTTCCAGCGCCTTATAGACTATGGAAACTTAATAATCCTTGGGTGATTTCTCGTCTGACTCGTCACTAGGTACTAGGGTTCAGTGGCTAACATGACTGAACTTTTGCATATAAAGACAATCAGTTTCCTTGCAATCATTGCTAGATGTTGCGCTGAGAGTACCTTCTTGTCCTACCTCGGTTTTGACGACGAATTTCCTTCCATCTATTGCCCATAGAATCATCAGCCATCAAGATGAGAGTTTCAGTATCACTATGCATTTGTCTTTCCTACCTCAGCATTGCGACGGCAGTTGCTGTGCCTAGCAACGGGGAAGCAGAGACTGCTTCTCAACTTCTGTAAGTCAATTTCCGCAAGAAGGGATCATCTCCAGTCACTTCCATCAAATGTGTACACATCCCTAATCACGTATGATTCAGTACAAAACGGGCACAGCAATGCCAATGTGATAGCACTGCAGCTACCAGAGACTGCTGCAAAGGGCTCGGAACGATGGGAGGTGGACTGAATCTAGAATGCGTAACCGACAAAAACAGCCAGTTCTTGTCGTGCTGCTCTAAGAAGGGGTTCATTGGGAACGTATGCTTTTAACTTAACGACGGCTGCGTAGCAAGCAAATTGCATTTCTCGTCATATTCAATCAAAAACCACATAGATAATGTGTCTGTGAAAATGTTAGCTGGCTGAGTTCTTGCGGATATATCAAACTGTTCATACCCCTTGCGCAAGGGTATCAATCATGTGTCCCACCTGGCTTTAAGCGGCTACAAAAGCGAGATCTTACTTAGGACGCATTAAATAATTTAAGGATTACATGAACAGCAGAAATCTCAACATTGAGTGACCATGCAACCCTCGATTTCGCACAAGATTTCAAGAGATAAGCGCCTAAACTCTTTGTAAAAAGAACGCTTGATCCAGGTTCTGTAGCAGTTGGAACAGGCTTAGATTCAATCTCCAACTTTTCATTCTAGAAACGAGCGATAGACAGTCAGCTAAGTGATACTTCTCTAACGCGTCCGTTTGATTTTTGCCCCGATGCCCCGCGACCAAGTGACTTAGATAGGCTACCTAGTATATCTCTCTGAAATACTAGCTATGCCAGTAGCCTTGCCACCAATCGGCACATACTCTGCCCTCGTCTTGCTCACGTCCTCAGCCCGCTCGACAGGCTCGCCAGCTGATCTGGTCTTGCCAACCCAATTGAATGCCGGGCGCACAACAAAACCAAGTAGCTGCTTTTGCCGCAAAGTCAACTTGTCCAAGACATCTTGCCCCAAGCTCAGATACGGGTTCACGGTTGATCCCATGAAGTAACGGTTGAAAGCGTAGATGAGAGCGGGTCTTTCAGCGTTGGTGGTGTTGACACCAGTTGAGTGCCAAACTGTAGTATTAAACACCAGGCAAGTGCCGGCCGGGGCCGATGCTGGGATGGATCCATCCTTTGCGGCATCAGGCGTTAGTCATGTTTGAGAACAACGACAGTCCAGTCGCTGTCTTGCCTCGTATCAGCTTTCGAGGGAACTTACAAAGCTGTTTGGATCCCATGGGCGCACATGGCCAATGTGAGAGGCCGGAATTACATGCGTGGCTCCGTTGGACTTGCTGGAATCCTCCACGTAGAACATGAAACTGAGACCAACTGGATCGTCTGTGAAGGGATTCATAGGAATCTGGTCGCGGTGAAAAGGCATCGGCATGTTGTTAGGCCCCAGGATGTTGACCGAAGCCTGAGAAAGGTACGAGTAATCTCCCAGAAACCAGGCGAGCAGTTCGTCAAACAGTGGGTGGTTCAAAAGATCTAGAAATTCATCCCCCTTGTTGACAACGTTCCTTCGGTCGCAATTCTTGTTAGCGTATGCGGCATAGGGATTGACATGCGAGCTTTCACTCACCACAATCGTTGGTTAGTCCCACCTTCGATGTCGGCTACGCCAGCCTTCCGCTCACCGGCAGCTTGCTCGAGAATGGCTCGTCTCAAAATTTGAACCTGTTCCGGCGCTAAGGCGTCCTTGACCAACCTAAAAGCTCGCGTTAGTCACTGCTGTCGTCTTGCGAAGTTTCTCATACCCGTATCCGAATTTCTTGATGTTGCGCTTAATCTCCGCAATGTCAGTCGTTGGTTTCGGGAGCGCGTCCTCAGAGAATGTGTAATCCTTGGGATTCATGACTTTAGACGGTCGAAGAGACATGCGATCCAAGAGATCGTGTGACTTCGGAGGGTTGGCGCCCTGCGCGTTGAAGCCGATACGGGCAACCATGTTCACGTCTAAGTTTCCGTTTGCCAAGCCGAAAAACATATCCGGACGCAGAGAAATGGTCACGTCTACGCTCATACCCGGAAGCGGAGACTCGAGCAAGCGAGTGCCAGTTGGCCGAGCATCGATGTAGATGGTCTTGGTGAGCTCGCCACGGGGCATCTTGTCAGTTACGATGAGTTCGGCCAGTGTATCGGCCTCGTCCAAAGCCTGACTGATGTTTAGTTGGGATGGCACTTCAACTTGGTGGTAGGCTTACCGAAAGTTTGCCTTTGATGGTCTCAAATACATCCGAGGCAAGTGCGTCGAATTCTTGTGCTTTAGGGTCGCTGTATGAAAGGGTTCCGAAGTCCATTCCTGGAGTCAACGGAGGACCCGCCACGGGAAGAGTTGAGGCGGCCATTTGATCAAGCTTTGTTGGAAAAGGTCACTAAATCTGTTGCTCTGGGCGAATGCACAGATTCGACTATTAGGCACGATGAAGCCATGATTAAATACAAAGCACCGCACATTTCGCATTGCAATATCTCCTTTCAGCGATTGCGAGACCGAGAGCGATATTTTGCTCTGGTTGGCAAAGCTTCAGAACCGTCGCCAGAGCTAGGATATCCTCGCTTAAGCGGCATTCATCCCATACATTCATTGCACGTCAAAATTATAAGCAGCCGAGCGTACCTTAATCGGATATCAGTGTTGATCATTCGTATATGCCCATTGAATATACAGCTAAATGCACTGAGTATTTCAGTTCCCTGGTGCTGATTGGTGCTTATGTCTTGATAGAAGAATGCCGAATACATAAAGTTCAACAATGTCCCATCGCTTGCGGGTGCCATTATATGCGCAGCGGGGTTGTATCTAGATAGACGTTCCATCAACTGACCGACTTGTTGTTCTAGCGAATAGGGAATCTTGTAACTGAGCGAACTTGCGGAAATACGGAGCTATCCGCGGATCGCGCGTGGTGTAGTCCACCTGCAATCGATGAGGTGCAAGGACCGGTGATGGCGGTGAAGGACAGGGCAACACGGACCCCCACTTCGATCGATATGAGGAAAAGCCCTTAATGAACCGTAACTGTCACCTCTTGGTCAATAGTGACCGCATATCTGCTGCGAGCGTCTCAGTGAATCTAGCTACGTCACATAGGGGGGGACCTTCAGGCACCGTAGATTCGTAATTATTACCCTTGTTCCACACTTCGGGTACACCCGCTAGCACCTGAGCTACACGGGACTTGTTGGGATGTATGTAGGCCGCTTATTGCTTGTTGCGGTGCCAAGTCTTAGGCTTGAGCCTTGCACAGTGATCCGCAACCATGCAGCATTCCAGACTACCGGCAGTCCTGAAGATGCTTCGATCCTATACCATTGTGATCTATGAACAATCAAAACAGAACGTTGCTCGTTGCTCTGGGAATTCTTGCATAAGTAAATGAGCATTACCATCGATGATGGCGCCAGATTGAGTCGCATGTTGGGGTCTGGGGACAATTGGCCTAAACAAAGCATACATGAGAGTTAAGTGTGGCTTAGCAGAAAATCGTAGACTGAAAATCAATCAACCGGTAGGGAGCACACTGTGCTGTGTTGTGAGGCTCTGCCTCCTTTTGAAATTTAGCTTTTCTGCCATTAACGTTTTACTTTTCGAGTCCGGATATCGGCGTTGGTTTAGGTTCAAGGACTATGACCAGCCTAATTATTCTGTTGTTGACAACCCCTGCTTTAATAAAAAGAACCGTTGTATCATTTGAATGGCGTACACTTCAGGGGCTCGTGTTGATATATCATGTCTTGATTTGACAAAAGCTTGTACGCTCTGTAGAGACAAGCAGTCGCCGACTGAGATGAAGGACAGTCTTTCGCCAGAGTACTCCTTTTTGTTACTGATGTTGCCTTGTAGTAGGCAAGTATATATTATGTGAGCTGCAACTTGCCCTTTCTCATCCCCACATTCTCTTGGCAGCCACCAACACACACTTGCTCTCCACTCGGACAAGGTGCCCAGTCCCCTTACACGAATCAGTAAGTCATCATTATTATTTCTACTCTCTTTCGTTGCCTCATCTTGTCTCTTCTTTTCAAACTGAATTGCCTATCAGAACGAAAGCTCACAGAGTCACAGTGCATTCCCCAACCGCCATCATTCTCCTCGCTCTCGTCGGCCTCGGTCTGGCCGGCAACCCGCAGTACAAACTCAGCTGCGAGCCAGCAGTCCCAGCCGCGTACCAAGCAAGCTTCCAAGCCTACGCAAAGCGGAACTGTGGAATGGGCGAATACGGTGGAAAGCCAGGCACTTGGCATGACAACACGCAGACATGCGAAGCCCCAACACCCCTCGAGGGCAACATCTCGGGAAGATATTACCACCCGATCTTCGCGAGCTCCTTGGGCGGCGCCAATATCAGCCCCCGCTGCAACTGGCTCTCCGCTTGAGGGGATAATTAGGCTTAGATATGGCGAGATGTGCATTTGGAAGAGCCTATGATTGACTAGACCAATGGGAGATGTGAAAGCCCCATCTAAGAATTACAAAGACATACGTTAGAAGTTCATATCATCTCTGCAAATATCAGACCAATTCATTTCCATCCTACCCCAAGCCCCCCCTCTCACAACCAAGCGGACGGCCATACTTCAACTAGAAAGCAAAAGCAATGAATCTAATATTCTTTCCTAGTATTCTCACAAGTAATACAAACAACCCCTTATACCTGAACCCCCTTGAACCAATGCCTGATGATGTACACTCGCAAGCCCTCCATCTCTACGAAGGCTCCTCGAGCTGTTTTACAATGCCTCTACACCCCCTCCAACCTGATAAGCATCAACCAGCCTTGCCCTGATTTCTACGCGCAAAAGCTTTTGTTTAAAAAAAGTATCGGGTATCATAAAGCGTTGTCGACGAAGTGAACATGAATCATTAAGTAGTGCGTGGGCGGATGCAAGTCTAAAAGGTCGCATGGGTGCGTGCAATCGCAGGGCTGTCATCCGCAACACCAGGCAAGAGAGGGTACCGAGATGTATCTGTCCCCTCTTCCCGGCTGCGCTGCGCCGGCCGCTGATAGTGTCCGAGCGACGAGGACGATGTATGTGTATGATGTGTTTTGTAGGGTTTGACACAGAGTGGATTGTCTTTGTATCTGAACTTGGAATTTCGGCCATCCTTTTTGGCCAGTCGTGCAAAACTCGCAAAGTAAAATAATAGTAGCAGTGTAATGAATGCTCGTCGCGGAATGTGTGTGGTCCTCTTTGCCCATTCTGTGCCGCATGTCGTCGTATCGACTCAAATAATCTTCTCTTTCCTCTTTCGCGAACATGGCCTTCTCTCTCTCTCCCTCTTGTCGATTATCATCAGAAACATCCCCCGCCATTGCTCCAAGGTTGAGATTTCTCCTAACGTCTCTGCCTCTTCTCGCGATCGTTCCCGAGACCGGTGGCGTCCTCGCTTCTCCTCTTGCGACCACGCTCCTCTCGCGGCTCACGTCGGTCATCGTTCTGCCTCGATCCGCCATCGCGTTGTCCTCCTCTAGGCGCACCTCGCGTGTTTCCACCCCATTCTTCATTACGTCCTCCCGAACCCGCTTCTCCTCGTGCTCCATCCGCACGCACGCCATCGCCACGATCGCCACGGTGACGTGGCTCACGTCCACCTCCACCAATGTTCTCGCGGCTGTTGCCATGGGCGGCATTGGAGTGAGAGTCTCTGGTGCTACCGGAAGGATCCCGTCCTGACCGTCTCGGCTCGCGTTCCTCTCGGTTGCTCGAAGAATGGCCTTGGGCCCCTGACCTCCGGTCTCTGTACTCACGTGGCTCCTTGGGCTCCCTCTCGCGTTCTTGACTGCGCTGCTCTCGTTCCCGGCTGCTTCGTCTTGACTGTCGGCCGCGGTCCGAGCGGTGTTCTTTTCTGCTGCGCTCGTGCTCGTTGCGTGAGTGATCCTCTCCATCAGCCTGGCCGCGATCTTGCCGGATTGGATCTGGACGTTCTTGAGTCGGAGTCGAGATGGGAGACGCGCCGGTCAACACTTGAGCGTCGGAACCAGCGATGCTACCGCGGGCTGCTCCACGTCCCCGGATGGTAGTGCCGCGGCTAGTGTCCGGCATGTTAGCTTGGGCTTGTTGCAAAGTATTGTTGATACCCGCAAGTTGCCTTCGACTGCCACCGCGACCTCTGTCAGTTGACGCGGGTCCAGAGGGTGCACCATCGGTCGGACCAGGGAAGTTGCCGGTGGGCGTCTGGACGTTCCTGTTGCCGCCTCCAGAAGGCCGGTCAGGGGTGTTGAGAGGAGGCAGCGACGGCCGGGAATGGCCATGGTTGGGCGGCTGTCCCGAAGGTGGCGGTGGCGGAGGCGGCGCAATCTGGGCCAGGCGATCAGGGTGAACTCCAGTGGCTGGGCCTCCGGCACCCGGAGTTGGTGGGCCAGGCGGTCCAGAGTTAATGACACGAGCGCGGTCGGGGTGTGTGCTGGGAGTGGGCGTCGCTGTCGTAGGCGAGCTCACGGACTGATTCTGATTCGGGTCGTATTGATTCCTGCGCCCCCTACCCGAGGCCGGTCCGGTTGGTGGATGCCTCTCGTCAGGCGCCGCCGGGCTATCGGTGCCGGGAAAGCGTCCATCGGATCTTGAATTGGGAGTATTCATGGCACCGCCACCTCGAGCGGATGTTCGGCCACGACCACGAGGTCCGGAGGGCGGTTCGTTCGTGACGACAGACTGGATGGGATTCAAGCGACCATAGTTGTGGTCTTGGCGGGTGTGATCGGGATCAGAGCCTCGACTGGGGCCAAGGAATGCCTCCCTGCCCTTGTCCTGTCCAGGCCGGCTACTGTCACGGTCGCCAGCTCGATCGGCTCGTGGATGTGTAGCTGGGGACTCATTGTGTGCATCCCGATTCGAAGACCGATGGTCTGAGTGATGAGAGCGACCATGTCTGTCATCTCTCCCGGCGTCAGGGGTATCTGGGTTGAAGCGTCCACTGCGTCTGGGAGAGTGGCCGCGAGGCGTGCCTCTTTCTCTGGGCTCATCCCGTGCTGGACGCGATGGCGGCTCCGGGCGAGTCTCTCCGATCAAGGCGGCACGCTCCGGGTTGATGATGTCAGAACGGTCCGAGTCGCCTCCTCGAGGTCCTCTGCCACTGCGACGATCGGGCTCGGATGACCGCGGTGGCCTTTCTGAACGGCTGGGCCTGTCTGGCTGGTCACCCTGGATCAGAGCAAGACGGGCAGAGTTGATGGGCGGCTCTTCAGGTGGCGGCTGTGCTGCTTGAGGGGGTGGCGTGGACATGACTGTGTCTCTCGAAAGTCGACCAGGCTCAGAAGCTCGGCCATTAGCCTGAGGCTGTCTGTCCCGTGACTGGCGGTTGTCACGATCATGAGTGCCGTGTTCGCGGCGCTGAGGTTCTTGTCTGCCGGGCCAGTCCTTCTCTGACAAGCGACCGACTTCTCTGGGGCCGTCCGGTCCACGGCGTTCCTGATTGGCGAATTCGCGGCTGCGGTCAGGGCGAGTGGGCTCAACAAACCGAGGGTCTCTAGAGTCCCGTGATTCCCTATGATCCCTGGAGTCACGGGGTTCTCGAGAATCTCTGGGGCCACGTGGCTCGCGGCTGTCTCTCTGGTCGCGGCGTTCGGGCAGGCCTTCAGGAGGAAAGTGGTTGCGGTAGTGGCCTGGAATAGGCACGTCGGGCCTCTTAGGCAGGCCTGAAGGCGCGCTCGTAGGAATAGGTTTGGGGCCGTCCCTCTGGTGTGCGTTATTTGACGGGGTACCGACATGGGGCTTCGGCGTTGATGGTTTGCTCGAGGCGGCAGAGTTGGCTGAGGGGGTAGCACCGGGTTTTGCTGAGTCTCTCTGCGCACCAGAGGGCTTGGGAGGAAGATTGGCATCCTTCTGACCGATATTGGCGGGCGCCGACGGACCAGACGGTCGGTTTTCGGCATCCTTGCCGTCCTTGACTTCTCCATCCTCCTGCTCTGCTGCACTCTTGGCAGAGCCAGGCTTGAATTCGGCAGCGGTCGGGCGCAGACCTGCCGCATCGCCATCTTTCGTCTTTCCTTGGGCTTGTCCGTTCTGGGTGGTGGTCAGCATACTTGTTGTCTGGGTTGTGATTGATCGACCCACCATATTTGGGCGGAAGCCTGCTGGCAATACCCACTTCGCCTTCCTTCTCTGCAACTCGGACAATGCACCCTGAGCAGCAACTGAAAGATCAACGCGGTGTCCTTCCTCTCCGGCTGTCGCAGTCTTGGAGGCTGCCTCACGCTCGGTGATGGTCTTGAGCTGCTCAATGAACTGGTTGCCCATGAAGGTAACGGCTGGGAAGAATTCAAGAACAGCCTTGAGAACCGTCATGGCATTGCGAATGTGCATCCACTCCATGCCGCCGAGACAGGACTTCAAAGCCAGGTTGAGCTTATTGTGCCAACCGTACAGAATGTCTCGAAATTGCGAGTGGTCGTAGTACGCCGTTGGTTGTCCCTCGGCATCAAATTCCGATGCAAAGCCAAGCAGATTGCTACGCTTGCCGACAGCTTCCCTCTCAAAGACATTGGAGTCTCGGTGCCATTTGGCGAGGTCCTTCAAGATGCAGTTCAGGAACCTTCCGAAATGCTCGGCTTCACGAACGGTGCAAGTGAAGATCATGGACCGAAGTCGGTTGACATTGAAAATTCGGTCGTACAAAGCCTTCAAGCGGAAGTTGGGTGCACCGAAGCTGTGGATCTTTCTGATGAGGGCGTAGCAGTACTCGGCGTCGCTGGCGGAAAGCACAAGTCGGGGAAGCAAACATTGCTCCAGAATTGCGTCCGAAATACCGTTCAGCTTGGTAACCGAACCTGTGAACCATGTGGCCATGCGATCAGACATGTAGTCCCTGACGACGCGTGCCCTCTTCATCTGCAGATCAGCCTCCTTGGGAAGTTCGTTGCCAATCTTTTGAAGTTCGGCCTCTTTGGTCTTCTTCTTGTTGACGCCGCTGCGGCTCATGTCCGAACGGTCTCTGTTGAGATCCTTGGCCAAGTTGGCAATTCTCTTATGGGCACTGTTATAGCTTGCGGCAGGTACTTCGATGTCGCCAAGTTGAAGTGCCCAAAAGAGAACGTAGAACTCAGAACTGAGCTTGCTCCAAGAAGCCTCGGGCGTGATGGACTGAATGGAGGCGACGAGGGGCTCAAGAGCTTCGTGAATCTGGCGCATGGCGTCTTTCTTCGCCTTCTCCCGAATTTCTTGTGGCGTGAGCGTCTTTTCTTCAGCCTCAGTCGTCTCTTCGCCAGTCGGCACCATAGACACATCTCCGTCGGTATCCGCGATAGCTGGAGCATCCGGCTTCTTCGCAAACATGGCGTGAGAGACGCCTTCTCTGCCGATGAGAAAAGCGAGACTGGCATCAAGACCAAAGTCATCCATCAAACACGCAATGGCAGGGACAAGGGCATCAAACTCCTGTGGTTCCAAGTTCGTTCGCAGGAGGTCGAGATACTGAACCAAGATCTGGTGGCTGTCGTCGATAACGGAACCGATGTACTTGATATGAGCCTCGTCATCAGGGAGCTTGAAGATGGCTGACTGGCGGTATTGAGCAATGTTGATGAGAATACGTCCAGCAAGCTTCGATTCGGTCAATGATTGCATGAGGCGCTTGGCACTGCGCCCCGACTCGAATCGTTTGTCCTGAAGACCGAGCAGGGTCTGTCGGCGCAACACCTCACCTCCTGACATGGCCAGAATCTGTTCATCGGTAAAATCAAGGACTTGAACAACGCCTCCCATGGAGGCTACGAGCTCCTTGAGAATGATCAGATCCGTAGAGTTGCCTTTGAACAGCTGATCATCGACGTATCGAAGGATGGGGCTCGGGTCCAAAATCGAGTATCGCTTAAAAACCTTGCCGGCAAACTTGGACAAAGCTTGAAGCCATTTGCTGGTAAGAAGGATCGAAGATTCTTGGGTGCGACTTCTTTGTTTGCCGCCGAGGGAGCTCATCAATGACCACACCAGGACGTCGTACGCCAAGTCAGTGAAGTACTTTGCGCACTCAACGAAAGCTTCGATAAGATTGGCGTAGGATTCGATCTGGCTCAAGGCTTCCTTGAAGACAATGCCCGGGGATGAGTAACTGGTCTTTGCCAAAGACTTCGCCATCTCGCTAAGATTGGTCAACGAAATGCGCTTCATCACACCTCTGGTCTCGATGCGAGTGCGGGCAAAGGCTGCTTTCATGGCTGGAAGTCTGGATATTTGGCCCTCGAACCACTCTGCGTAGATTGAGTAGCGGGTGGTGACGGGGTAGAGCTTGAGAAGGTCCCAGACAGAGTTCACGACTGCCGCGTTGGCTGTAGTCATGCTGAGGGCGGGAACCAAAATGCGTCGGAGAAGTTCCTGCCAGCGGTCGAGGTTTTCCTGAGTCCGATCTTGTCCAAGACTCTTAGCTCCGATACTAACAAACTTTGCCAGTAGAGCAGGGTCTTTGCCGATGTTGACGCCGGAGATGTTCAAGAAGGTATCGCACAGGGTGAAGACATCCTCGACGGTCTGGCAAACAGGGACATTGTCGGCCCATTCGTCCCAGTAAAATCGGTAATGCTGGTCTCTTGGGTCGAAGCCGTCGGGGAAAGGCCACTTCATGGACTTCTTGGTCGGTGTAGTAGTGAGCTTGACAGTGCCCTTAGGAACGCCGCTCTGGTCGAGGTCGGCAATCGACTTGGCAGAACACTCAGCGGAGCAGATGGGTGTGGGTCGGCTTTCCTGATAGACCTTTTCAATGCTGTGGTTGAGGATGCGGTGTACGCGGTCAAGGATTTCAGGGAAAGCCTCGGGGAGCCAGGGGAACCGGCCAAGAATGAACAAAGACTCCGGAATGGCGCCAATCGTCAACAGACAGATGAGCAATGCCGCCTTCTGCTCCATAGGTTCCGGTAGCTTCTCCTTCTCATCCGCGCCGGCATCGGTCTTCGCGTCCGCATCCACCTTTCCGGAGATATCCCGTGTGCGAGTGGTCGGCACAGGTGCTGTGTCATCAGGAAGAGCACCCGCCATAAGGAGCGCATTCTGTGCGGCACCGGGTCGACTCTGTCTCTCCTTCTCCTCGAGTTCCTTCATGCGCTTCTCCCTCAAAGTCTCCATGTCGTCGTCCAGAGGCCAGAGATGAGGGTAAATGTCAGTGATTGACATAAATCCGACCTTGATGAGAAGCGCAACTAGGTAAAGAAGGTTGGCCGGCAGCACGTCGGCGGCATCTCGGGCGTCGGAAGAGTAGAATCGCAACTTGAAGCCTAGGAGCTGGGCAGCAGTACGGTTGCCTTGAGGCGGGAGCGTCTTTGTTGCCTTCATCCACGCCGAAGCGGCGTTGACTTCGGCTTCGGATGTTGACTCGGACGCTTCCAACTGTTTGAGGTTCTCTTCCGTGACCTCCCTTCCCCCAAGCTGGAAGAAGGCGTCCAGATGGATTTCGCGAGCCCTGTTCCAGAACTCGACATCACGCTGTCGTCTCAATTCAACCGCCTCTGCTTCGGACTCATCACTCGACTGCCAGTGTGAGTTTTCAGGTAGAGCCCAGTTGGGTAGACCGCCCACGTAGATGGATGAGGGCGGGTTTTGGTTGCGAGGCCACCAAGAGCTGACGCGAAGCAGCTTGATGAAGAACCGGAACTGCTTGATAAGCACGGCGGCGAAAACATCAAGCGTAACGTCGAGAACACGCCCGACGTCAAGATCAAAAGTTCCGATGAGGCCTTTGAGACGCTCGAATGCTGCGTGGGCTGCCTCGGCTGTGGGGGGTTCCGAGCTGCTGGTCGTGAAAAGCTCGGTCATCAGCTTGGAGTAACCCTCGGTCTCCTCGCGCAGCAGGTTGTAGTTGGCTTGTCGGTAAAGAAGGTTGGTGGCGTGGCGAATTCCGAGCTTCACGAAGGTGGTGCGGATGAGGCCGAGATCCTGCAAGAGCTGGGCATCGAGTACCTGGCGGAGGAGGGCAGGGGAGATGCCGCTGCACTGGATAAAGTCGCGGAGCTGGGGCTTGAAGAGTCCGCGATCATTGTCGAAGATGATTGACAGCGTGTCGAGGAAGAGAGTGTGCGGCTCGAACGAAAATGACTCCTTAATCATTTCTTGCGATTCCGAACCGAGTATCTCTTTCATGCACGCGCCAGCGTCGGCGGGCGACAGGCGGCCCTCCAAGACAGCATGGATGAATTCTTGGTAGATGCTGGTCAGCTCTTCAATGTCAACATCAACCCTGGACTGCTTCGCATGCTCGATCAGCTCTTGTCGGCTCTTAGCCGTCCACGAAGCGATCGCATCGTCGGTGATATGTTCGTAGCAGTAATTTGTCGGCACCGGAGAGGGCGGGTGGGATATCGAGGCAGCAGCGGTAGCCGCCGCTTGGTCGGTTGTGACTGGTGCCGGCGCTGGTTGCTGCGACTGAGATGGTGCCGAGGGAGGTCTGGGGACAGTTGGGGACGTGACGCGGGCGGGGTTCGATGAGCTCGTCGCGGGCGGCTGTTGTGATTGCTGCTGTCCCTGTGCTGAGTCTCGGCGGTCGTTTCGTCTAGTGTTCCTACCACTGCGGCCGCCTCTTCCGCCTCCCTCGGAGAAGTCTCTGTCGCGCTGGCCCATGATCGTGTCGCCGGGCCGATGAGGAGAGGGCCTGCTTCCCTCGTTGGCGAGGCCGCCGCGAGCCTTGCGCTTCGGAGGCATGTTGCTCTCGGATCGCGATTTCGTTCAGGGTATCATTGGAGACGCGCGTCGATTCTGTATTTCTCTCCTGTCGGCATGTCTGGTCAGTTGCTTGTCGTTCGCTTGCGCGCGCGCAGCTGGTGGAAGGAGGAGGACGTGAGGTACCAGGCGGAGGGAAGGAGCTCTCGTCGCGTGTCGATAGCTAGATCAAGGAATGACGTGCACAAAGGAAATAAAAGTAGGCGCAATCGTGTATTGCCGAAGAAACGATTCGGAGACCCGAAACAAACGATGCAATGATTAGAGAAATGTCGTCGCCGTTTGGACTTGGTTGACTTTTCGGGTTTGGCGACGGGGATGGTGAGGATGGACGATTTCTCGCGCGAAGAGGCAGTTGCAGCAATGTGATCCACCAGAGACACAGAGCTTCAGATCCACTTGGCTCACTGCAAACGGGTGGTAGGTAGCAGCCTCACGAAAAGACAAGGCTGTCAGCGCAGGTTGGAAGTGGGGCGGGCCAGACGCGAATTCTGTACCGGCTGGCGGCATGTATCGGTTACATGCAAATCTGCAGGGGTGCCCCTAAAATCCGCCGTTGCGAGGACTTGTAGCTGCTGGCTGAGTCATCGACCCCGCGGAGCCAATGAATCACAACGCAAAAAAAACTGTCGGGAGTACGTACCTGCCTCCCTACCCAAGAAACCCCCCGGAGCGATTACGCCATTTTCGGGACTGGTCTCTGGCTTCTTCTCGCTGAACGCCGGCCAGTGAAGAGTCATTCTCAGCAAGTCCCAACCCCAGATTCTTCATATATCGCGCATATCTCGCCATCGCAAAGGACCCTCAAGTCCCCAGAAACCTTGCCCTTGTCCCATTTTGTTTACGACTCTTCGTTGCATCGCCAATTGAGAGCATTTTTACCTCATTCTGCCGGACTCGCGCTGCCCCTCGTTGGTTCCGAAGTCGGGATGACGGAACAAAATTTACAAAACGGCTCTCAGCCGAGATACGGTCAGTATAACCTCTGCCCCGGCGCGTTCAACGCGACCCCGTCTCAGTGTAATCCTTCAAGAATTATGAGTCAAGTGACTCGAAATGCTCTTCTACACCAACATGTCATTCAATGTCCTGAACAACCCTTCTGTCCCTCCCCACTATGAACACACATGCGCGCCCGAACATGAGATGAGAAGACCGGTGACTGAATACCTGTAAGAAAGAACCCAGACGCAGCCTGAGAACCCGTTTGCTACCCTGATTCCGGAGCAACAAATCGCCACTATCCCCTCCTTCACCCTCGAGTCAGGAGTCACTCTCCAGAATGTGCCCGTCGCCTACACCACGCGGGGCAAGCTCAACGCCAACGGCGACAATGCCATGGTCATCTGCCATGCCTTGACTGGCAGCGCAGACGTCAGCGACTGGTGGGGTCCCCTCCTCGGTGGACCCGGAAGAGCATTCGACACTTCGAGATTCTTCATTGTGTGCATGAATGCTCTCGGAAGCCCTTACGGCACCGCAAGCCCAGTCACTGCCAAGGACGGCGATCCGTCCAAGGGGAGATACGGGCCCGAATTCCCTCTCACGACAATCCGTGATGATGTCAAGTGAGTGTGCTCGCCCCAGTGGATACCTACATCAACTAACACGGAAATCAAGCCTGCACAAGCTGCTGTTGGATGAGCTCGGAGTAAAGCAAATCGCCGCAGTCATCGGTGGATCTCTCGGCGGCATGTTTGTGTTGGAGTGGGCGTACCTGGGCAAGGAGTACATCCGCTGCATTGTGCCTATTGCAACCTCGAGCAGACACAGCGCATGGGGTATCAGCTGGGGCGAGGCACAGAGACAGAGCATCTATGCCGACCCCAAGTACGACGACGGCTACTACCCATTCGACGACCCGCCGTCGACCGGTCTCGGCGCCGCTCGCATGTCCGCTCTCCTGACCTACCGCAGCCGAAACTCCTTCGAGTCCCGTTTCGGACGGAACATACCGGACCCCTCAAGGCGGCAGACTATCCGCGAGAAGCCCCGCCCCAGCACGCCGTCAGAGGCCCACTTCCACATTCACAACGACGGTCACAATGTCAAGCGGGCTACCATTTCGCGGCAGAACAGCCAGGGAGGCATCAACGAGACGTCAACTAACGGCGCGACGGCAGACGCAGTTGCCGACGCTCCTGACCCCCAATTCCATGGTCCACAGACTGACAGCCTTACGGGCGGCGACAAGCTCCCTACTTCAACATACTTCTCCGCGCAGTCCTATCTGCGCTACCAGGGACAGAAGTTTGTGAAGCGTTTCGACAGCAACTGCTACATTGCCATGACGAGGAAGCTCGATACTCACGATGTCTCCCGTGACCGCGCGCCGACGATTGCTGAGGCTTTGGCCCTTATCGAGCAACCCACATTGGTTCTCGGTATCGAGAGCGACGGCCTGTTTACCTTCGCTGAGCAGGAGGAGATCGCCGAGCACATCAAGAACGCCAGGCTCGAGCGTATTGACAGCCCTGAGGGCCACGACGCCTTCTTGCTGCAGTTCGAGCAAGTCAACCACTACGTGTTGGGCTTCTTGAAAGAAACGTTGCCTGATATTATGAGCAAGCAGGGCGAGGAGGTCGAGGAAGTTGGTGTGGGTCAGCTGACCAAGAGTAGCACCTTTGGAGAGGCCGAGGTAGACGACATTACCGCCTGGTAGAAAAGATATGACGGTGGTGTCCGGTGGAGTTTTGTGTGTTTGTTTTGTTTCAACAGGCCTGGTTTCTTTCAACAAGTCAGCGATCATGGAAATAGACGGTGCAAAAAATGGAACTCTGCATGCTGCGTTAAGTTGGGATGTCTCTGCTCAAGCGGACGATTCGGACGTGACGTGTCAGTCCAGAACTTCAATGAAGCGGAACCAGTACCCGTACGCAATCTCCAGGCTTCAGTTCTTAGCATGGCATAGGCAGAGCCAGGCGCGAGAGTTTCCACTTGACGCCCGGAAATTCAGATCCCCGCCGGCCCATATTGTGGTGTGTAACATGGCACCGGACGTCAGATCTGGGTGCGGAGGTTATCTCAGCGCAGGGCAGAACGGAGGGGGGCACCGTATGGCCGACGTATCTGGCACCGTCCGTACGAGAGACGAACGATGCCGCAAACGTGTGTCAACTTCAAGCTGTCTCTTGCGTGAGACTCCAACTTTGTTTGGTCAACTTTGTTGTGTAAATGTGATAATTATGAACGCCGGCGGAATGGTCCGCCATCGTCGAGTCGAGCCCGTTGTTGAACGCCCGCAATTGTTGACATGAATAAGGATCCTGCGGCAGGTTGCCACGCGGAGTGAGATGGATTGGAGATGAAGAACCGTTCGGAAATTCCTGAACTCATATCTGCTAGCCTCCGCCACAAAGACAGCGTGAGCAGCGCCAACGGAGGTTTTCCGCGGGGCAAGAAGCTAGAATGAGGTCAGAAGATGACTCGCCAATCATTCCACAGAGAAGTGAAACGAAAGTTAATCGCGAGCAAAGACCACGAGCTTGCTTCGTGGTTGGAGAGAAGAGCGGGAATAGGGCGCATTGAGACGTTTTACGTCAGCCGGCTATTGGCACGACTCGACAAATCATTTGCCTGCCACCAGCGTAATGCTTGAGCGGAAGCGACTGCAGTCGTTTTTCCGCCTCTCTTAGCCAGGCAAAAAAAACCAGCAACAGCCTGACCAAGCATCGACGATGGAAGTGTAGAAATGCGACCCCCCTACCGCACATCGTCAGCAGCCGGAGAAGGCTCGGTCTCGAGGCCCACGAGGTCCACGTGTCAGAGGGTATCCTTGCCATTGGCTCGGGGAACCCTTGTCCGTCTCGGTGAAGAGGCAGGCGAGTGCATTGGCAGATCTGGAGACTGTGGGGGGTTCGAGGTGGTCCTGTCATCAGCAAGGCGGACGGGACTACCTGGGCACGGCTATTGTGCTGGCAATTGGTTAGGTAAACCTGATGCGGCGTGCTGAGGCGTCCTGTGTCGCCGTGGCTGGGCAAGAGAGAGGTCAAGACGGCAGCGTATGGTTGGACAGCAGACAAGACAAAGAGGAGCGCGTTTTCAACGTGTTTTATCCGCCATCAAGCCACCACCCCTCGTGGGAGAGAAGAAAGGCTTTGGGTTCAGGTTGACAGTGGCCCAATCGGGACAGATCTGCTGCCGGTCTGCGTCAAGAGGGTTCCGTGTGGACGGTGTTCCAGCGCCCTTCTAGAAGGAGCACCCCTGCCTGGTATCAGTGGGGAGGAGCCACCGCATAAAGGGTACTTTCCCTGCCGCTCCACGAGTGTCCTGCGGACGTTGCGGACGGCACAGACGCGCCTTTTTCTGAGTGTAACAGTGCAACATGGAAAAGGACGAAGGGAAGGAGTGCCGCTGGAGGAAAACACTTTCTTAAGGCGTGAAGACAGGGCAGGGTCGACTAAAGATCCAACGGGCAAGAAGCAAGCGAGGTGGGGGCTTCCATGACTGAGGCAACGTGGGGTTGCACCTGGCACCTGCCCTGTGTTGCCCTGTCTCCCGTCCATGCCTGCCTGCCTGTCTGCCTGCCTTGCCTGCCTGTGCCCATTTCCAGCTTCCGGATGCGAATGCACCCTGATGTCTGAGATCCACGGGCTGGCGTCTGGCCTCCTCAAGTTTATTCCCAAGTTATTCGTATCCATGGTACTGCACCTTGTCTTAATACATTGCCTTACCTCCACCGTACCTACCTTGCTTTGGTATCTATCCTGCAGTCGCAAGTCGCAAGTCGCAAGTTGGAGCAGGTGCGTTCAGACCCAGAGTCCAGCCAGGTCCGGCTTCTGTGACAGTTTGGCAACTGCCCGTCCTTTCTTTCTGGCCTGTCCCTCTCCCCCATTTCCGTCCTGGCTGGCCGCGCACTGCTACTGTTCCTCGTCTCAAATGACCAACAGTTGGCCCTCACATCTGTCCGATCCCATCCCCCTCCACAAAGCGTACGTATGGCCAACCAAAGCTTGTCCGCTGAGAGCCGGGACCATCTTACGACAACGAGGACGAATTCTTTTTCAGCGTTCGGTGTCTCTGCTGCATTTCTGTTCGAGTTTGCATTAGCGCCATGTCAACGTTCCTTAGGTCGTCTGCCCAGCCCTTCGACCGGTACAGAAAGCCCCGCCCCTGGCAGAAGAGTGAACATCCGGCGGTATCGCCAACACGTGGCCTGGGATTAATCTCACCTGCACCTTCTGGGCCCACGTCGTACCACTCATTGCATCCATTCTCTTACACTCATAGTCGCCCACTACCGTTTACTCTTTTAAAGTACGTTTCTTGTTCGTCTCTTCAACTGATTCTGGCAGAGTGCGAGAAAACTCAATCTCCAGTCTCATTCCAAGTTTTCTCCAATTAGCGCTACACATTAACAACTTGAGACATCTCTCCCTTTGGGATCAGACACCGAGCTTCCCAAAATGACTGCATACTTTCTCCATCCCGACACACTCATCTTTTTGACTTTGGGGCTCGCCGTTCCTGGACTGTGTGGCCCCCAAACTCCCACCGGGAGTCAATAAACAACCCCCCTAACCTTGGAGGCATGCGAACCACCACCACGATAAGGCCCCTTTCAACCTAAACCTCGTCCAACGAGTCCATTTCCGCTTCTGTTTATCGTCCTACATCATCGTCGTTTCCTGCGTCACTTAACCTCACATCAAGCACAGTCCACGTCTTTGCTGATGCTACAGGCAAAGACAAGGCCGACACTCAACACGGACATAACGTTCCCCGTCCCATTCCGCCTATCCAATCGGTCACTTCGCGGCCGACACCCCCATCATCCCTGGTTCAGGCATCCCCTTGCGACAGGCTTGCCTTGTCGTACCCTGTCGCCCACGTTCAGCCCCTCGCTCGTCCCATCAGGTGTGCCATTACGAACGTCCTGCAGAACGGATCCTGCGGGACGTAGGTGGCATGCGCCTCTGCGGCCCAGACGGTCTTGCAGCACATTCCCTTTAAACTCTCCCACACCCCTTCTTCCCGCGCACCTACATCCGAGCCGCTTGAACTTAGTCCCCTGATCTTCAACGCCCAGAGATCTCGCCGCAATCACTTGTATCTCGAGTCCCAGTCTCTAATAACCCGGAGAACCCCATCGAGTCGACCGACACTGCTTGTGACGACGACATTCTTGGACTGACGCTGGAGGGGAGGATCACCGGAGGAGGACGACGCATCTTGGTATACGAACGACTTCCGATTTCATCATGGCTGCCGGGCGAACCATCGAGTTATAGATCGGGCCACAACGCCGTCGTAAATAATCGCCCTCACCGCTCGAGCATTCAACCGCTAGACTTTTGAAGATGGACGACATGTTACCGCCGCCGATGACCCCCTCCGAGCGAGGAGGTTACCGGCGGACCAACGGAGGCAACAATGCTTTTCACAACTTTTACAACGACTATTCGCACATATCAGACCCCGCCCTACGGAGGCGGCTGGCTTTGAGCGAGATTGACAAAGTTCCTTTTGGCTTATACCGTTAGTTGATGATTGCCCATTCGCCGACGCGTGTTCACTAACACAATGGAACAGATGTGAGAGCGATTTTGGTAGCAGGTGTTGGATTCTTCCTCGATTCGTACGATATTTTTGCAATCAACCTTATTATCACCCTCCTGGGGGTTGTTTTCTGGCAAGGGCCTCCGGATCAAATTCAGCATGGCTACGGCGGTAACCACGGAGAGTTACCGGGCTCCGTCAACTCCGCTCTTAAGGCTTCGACAAGTGCTGGAATAATCATCGGTCAGCTTGTATTTGGCTGGCTTGCGGATGTCTTCGGCAGGAGGAGGATGTATGGAGTGGAACTTGGCATCATTATCTTGGCGACGCTGAGCGCTGCACTTGTCTCGCCAAGTCAGTCCGTTGGGTTCACAGGGCTAATGATCTTTTGGAGAATTATCATGGTAGGGTCATGATGGGTTTCCTCTACGCCCGCATAACTGACAACGAGCAGGGCATTGGAATTGGCGGCGACTATCCGCTCAGCTCGGTCATCACCTCAGAGTACGTTATCTCTCCTGTTACCACCTTTACCGGGTAATGCTCGAGCTTACACTCGCGACAGATTTGCGCCAACCCGCTGGAGAGGAGCCATGATTGCTGCAGTTTTCAGCATGCAAGGCTTGGGCCAACTTGGTGCCTCAGTCGTCGCCCTCATTACGGCGGAAGCATTCAAAGAATCTTATCTCGACGTCACCACGATTGCCAGCTGTCATGAACGTTGTCAACTTGCTGCCGACCGTTCATGGCGAATCATTGTCGGAGTCGGCGCTCTCCCAGCTTGTCTTGCCTTGTACTACCGCGTCACCATTCCCGAGACGCCCCGTTATACCTTTGATGTGGAGCAGGATGTCGAGAAGGCTGACGCCGACATCAAGGCGTATATGGCCAGCAAGTCAAAAGGCGAAGTCGATCCAGAGCTACAATTCAGAATGAAGAAACAGGCTGGACCCGCATACAACACCCCGAGTGCCTCATGGCGCGATACGTTTGCGTTCTTCGCTCAGTGGAAGAACTTCAAGACCTTGACGGGCACCGCCTTGTCCTGGTTCTTTCTCGTATGTCACCCTGCTCCTCAACAATATTTTAATACACTGACATGTGAGGCAGGATCTAGCATTCTATGGCCTAGGATTGAATAACACCTCTGTGCTTCAAGCTATTGGCTATGGCGATGGAGCCAATTTCTACGAGAAGCTACACAATCAAGCAGTCGGCATGATTATTTTGTCGTCTGCTGGAGCTATCCCTGGTATGAATATCTTTGCAAATATGCCTCGCAACTCTTTCCGCTGACATTGTCATCTTAGGGTACTGGGCTAGTGTATTCGCCATCGACACTATGGGTCGCAAGCCCCTGCAGATGTTGGGTTTCTTTGTCCTGACCGTTCTATTCTGCATCTTGGGCTTCATGCTTCATCAGCTTCCGCACCCAATCTTCCTCACGCTTTACATCATTGGTCAATTCTTCTTCAACTTCGGTAAGTGCTTGGAACGCGCCGTCTTCGCTGACCAAACTAACATGGACAGGCCCGAACACGACGACCTTCATCGTTCCGGGAGAGTGCTTCCCGACACGCTATCGATCTACGGGCCACGGTATCTCAGCAGCGATGGGCAAAGTCGGCGCCATTCTTGCACAAATCATTAGTATCCCATTGTTGTCGAAGGATACGCCTGCCGACTGTCACGGCAATGCCTGCTCGCCATGGCTTGACCGTCTTCTCGAGCTGTTCGCTTTGTTCATGTTCTTGGGCATGCTCGCCACCCTCCTGATCCCCGAGACGAAAGGAATGACGCTCGAAGAATTGGCCGGCGAGACCCCAACCTCTTACGATCGCGGTCGCAACGGCAGTATATCACACTACCCGCGCTACAGCGGCAGATGGAACCCCTTCGCTGGCGGCCACCCTGCTGGTTTCCATTACCCACGTATGAGCAACATTCGGGCTGTCCGCGTCGGCATCATGACGTCTCCGGACCTTCTAGCCGAAGAAGAACGCAGAAGGAGAAATCAAACCCGGTTCTGGCGGAAGAGGAGGAAGGACAGGGGTGCAAATAATAGCACCGGTAGCTCGGACGAGTACGCCATGACTTTCCGAAATAGCGGCGTATCTTCTTCCTACGGTCCCTCCACGGCCAACGCAGACGAAATACCACCTGAACAGGTCCCAACTTGGGGCGCTGGGTGGGGCAGAATCGATCGCGGCGCGCAGCCCATGGAGAACGTGAAGCTGCACGATGCCGGAAACCTCTTGCGCCGAGATTCGAGAGCATGATTTCTTTCTTTTAGGAAAGCGGCTGAAAGGGAAAGCGGGCGTTTGGGTAGGACTTTACGTATTATGACTGGGAAAAACGCAAGTGAATTGCTCTTATGATTATGTGTATGTATTATATGCCCAGCTAGACAGTACATGAGTAATGTCATCATGAGGCTGCTCACGCAGCAACTTCAGCCAACGGTCCAAAAAAGATGTTGTAAGTCGCGGACGACTGTGATCATGATCAGTGGGAGGCTTGAACTCCCGGCCTTGGCATTACTCAACACATCTGATGATGTATTAGTACCACGCTCTAACCAACTGAGCTAACCGACCAGCTGTTGTTGAAGGAGGGTGCCCTAGCCCTTACTTTATGGGGCGGTGGGCGGAGGTGGATGTGGTGATGATTTTGAAGCGGGCCGGGGTCGGAGTGTGTGGGTCGCCGGACGGGGAGCAAACGACGGCTCGGGAAGAGAACCTTGGCAGTGAGAAGCAGTTTAGTGTAGCACATAAGTTAACAGATGATAACGCTAGTCATATGTGATTCGATGGATGTTAAATTCTGCTTTCAATAAGATGGAGTGCCTATCTAGAGTGAGGCGTTTACGTTGTCTTACACCGTCTTGTGGCATATTTTCGAGATTGGTAGATAAACCGGCCAGGCGCTAACGCAGCGCTTTCTCTATGCCTTTCATTTCAATCTTCATAGCCTCTTCTGGCCTCATCAGCTGCATGTTTGTGTAATGCCGGCGGATAGGCCTCTCAGGGGTATCATACGGTCTGATCATGGTTTCTGAAGGAAACATAGCAGGCATCGACGGCGAGGTTAGAAGGGAAATAGAAAGCGTCTACTGCTGACAGTGTTCGCTAAAATCGTATATCTGACATTGACGTGTTATTCAAAGTCGATTGACTCCAAGATTAGCGCATAATATCCAGACGCGGTGTCGGGAGCAATTTTCCCATTTACAACCGGTGTAAGTTGGAATGGCATTTGCTAAAATGTGAAGTAGCACTCGTGACAAACGACTCATTAGGGTGATGAAGTCTGAGAGGCGACTGCGCGCGACTGAGGCTGAGGTAAGAAAGAATTCTGAAACTAAGAGAATACAGGTTGAGCAAAAGAAAGATCAGCATCACGATTGATTGAAACAAAGCCGTCAACTCGAGTGATTCGCATCTTCAGGTGTGGGTCGGGCGAACACGGATTCTCCACATTTGCGCTACTTAGGTCACAGACTGACCACGACTTCCAACGCCTCCAATCAACAATTGGAGATCCCGAACCTGGCCGGCTGGCGCAATGGTAGCGCGTCAGACTTCTATCCGCTCTCGAGTGGTGTAGTAATCTGAAGGCTGCGGGTTCGAGCCCCGCGTTGGTCAAATTTTTGCATTTTGGTGTGATGTTCCTTCCCGTCGATTTTCGTCTGCGTGGCTTGCTGGTTTGTGAGTTTTGCTGGTACGATGCTCTGGGGAGAGAAAGAAGCTGCAGTTTGCATGAAGATGTCCTGTGTACTTCGGAATATGAATTTGTAGATGGTGTAGTTGAAGCTCTAATGGTTCTTCGCTTCCACGAATCAGCTACGTCATTCACTGTTCCACAGTGGCCTAAGGTGAGAACGAAGGGTCCGCCGCCGCTGGTCTTCGCTTGTTGCACACCTGAAGCTCACCGAAACCAAAGTGCCCCACTAAATTCCTGATGGTCGCATAACCGCAAACCGCCGCGTCGAGCTCCCAGCTTCCCTCTCCCAAGGCAAGCTCACGCAGCCCAGATTGCAAGATGGTACGTATGCCCGCGCCGCATCTCATGCTCAGAGCATGCAGAGGCGACTGCGATTCTGATGTTTCATTCGCTTTTGCCACCGCATGTTTGGCTAATTCTGGCCCGCTCTCGCAGTTACCCCTCGGTCTTTTGAACGCTGCCCAAGGGCACCCCATGCTCGTAGAGCTCAAGAACGGCGAAACGCTGAACGGCCACCTCGTCATGTGCGACACTTGGATGAATTTGACGTTGAAGGAGGTCGTGCAGACGAGTCCGGTACGCGACGGCCTCCCCCCCGACATCGGTTGGACGCCCTCGACTGACGTGGATACAGGAAGGTGACAAGTTCGTTAAGATACCCGAGGTTTACGTGAAGGGAAACAACGTATGAACAATGGCCCGCGACCCATTTTAGACCCAGTGACACGGAATGCTGACGCGCTGCAACAGATTAAATACCTCCGAGTTCCCGACGATATTATCGATCTGGTCAAGGAGAACCAGCAGAACAATCAGGGAGGTTTCCGGGGAGGCAGGGGCGGACAATCGAGAGGCGACCACGGCGGCCGTGGCGGAGACAGGGGACGTGGCAGAGGACAGAGAGGCGGCCGTGGAAGGGGCCGCGGCCCATCATCATGAGGCGGGAGGTTTCCATGACTGCGAGGAATGCGAGAATGAGCTACGGCGCAACGGGCCACGCAGAGGTCCGGAATCCAGAATAATACCAAAGCAGAGAAGCATCTGCCCATGGAACCCACCAAAGAGCGTCTTGCGACGGAGGGACAGGGCGTGCTGCTGTTGGGCTGACGGTTGGAGACTTCCCCAGGCATCACCAGCAGCTACCTGGGCCTGGAAACGCGTGCACGCCGAATGAATCATTTTAAGTACTCTACAATCAAACAAGAGATATCCATGAGATGAAGATCCTGCTCAAGTGCTTTGCCCGTGTTCATATTGCTGCACTTCGAGAGCTGTCCAGGAACAGTCATTGAATATCACGTGACCCCGCGCCGGCCAGGATGTTCGGTGACGAAAGCTCCGAATTCTGCCAGGTACAGCTCCAAGTATTTTGGCAGAAACGCGAACCCCGAATATTGCCAACTCCCATGTCGGGATCCCGAATAGTTTTCGACAGCCTATGGCGCTGCCTTTGCCCTTCCGTCGACGCACATGCCGCAGCAAAATTACTGAGCTCTCCAGCCATCGCCCGCCCGTCGCCAGCAACGAGACCTCGATTCCCCTCCACCCTCACCACTCGACCCCGCGCAGTCCGAACACAATGTCGACGATACGGGGGCGGCGCATACCACGAAGCTGCCACGCAGAAGGAGCTTGAAGATGCGAGAAGCCGACTTGTTCCCGTCAAAGACGAGCCGCCGGCGAGACAACGACCGCGGGACCCCTCTAAACCAGACCCAATAGAAGCGCTGCGAGCTGCGCCGGAGGCTGCTGTGTACGAAGCACTGGAAGTCTTGCGCGGGCAGCCGAAGAGCTTCGAGAAGGTGGTGACGATCATAACACATTTGGTCACTGACCGCGACGCCGAGTTGAGCCCCGCGCTGTACGAGCACCTGGTCGTCGCCATGGCAGACGTTCAGGGTTCCGCAGCGATGCTGGCACAGCTGTTTGCGGAGATGAGGGAGCTGCACTTGGCGCCCTCGCCGGCCATTCATCACGCAGCGCTAGCGGTACGATATCAGAAGAAAAAGTGCCAGATCTCATAAGCTAACTAGTGGGAATACAGGCTCTCGCAGTCCACCCCGATTACATCGTCCGAAACGAGGTCCTCGCAGCCATGAAACAGTCCTGGACGGAAGTCAACCCGGAAGCAGACGGCCATGTCGCCCTCGGCCTCCTACGCGACGGGCAGTTCGAGCTCGCCCTCGACAAGCTGGAGAGCATGATCGACAACCACGTCCCCGTGCAGCCGTGGGTCTACGACATCTTCATCTTCATGTTCGCGCAGCGCGGGTTCGTCGAGGAGGCCGTCCGGCTGGCGCACAGCAAGGCGCACACCACCGCGGCCGCCGACGATGCCGCCGAGAGCCCGCTGTCCCTGTGGCACATGCTCCTGGACGTCTGCAGCCAGGCGTACCATTACGAGGGCACGCGGTACGTCTGGGGCCGGCTGTACGAGGCGGACAGGTATGCCTTGCCCGAGGGCGTGCTGCTGAACATCGTTAACACGGCGGCGCGGCACCATGACTTCGAACTGGTCACGAACGCGAATAAGCTGATAGCGCAGCGGGGCGGGAAGTTGCAGGCGCATCACTACGAGCCGCTTATCGATTGCTACGGCAGCGTCGGGGATTTGGAGGGCGCGCTGAGGGTGTTGTGTATCATGTTCAACGCCATCTCCGTCGCGCCGTACGCCAGCGCGCGCTCGATCTATGAGTGGGTCAAGAAGGAGCCGGAGAGCCTGGATTCAGCCCTCGAGGCGCTGGCTGCGTTGAAGAAGGAGTATAAGATCCCGATAGCGGCGCTGAATGTGCTCGTCGAGGCTGCGGTTGAGACGCATGGGTATGCCAAGGCGCTGGAGATTTACAGGAATGCCCCTAATTACACGGAGGCTCCCCCGAACCACGTTACGGTCCGGTATCTCTTGCAAGCCTGCGAGGACGCGGAGGCGCGGCGGGTGCTGGTGGCCGAGGACCCGGAGCTGGCGCTCAAGGGCGACCGGCAGGTCTTTGCGGACGTTATCTTCGAGCATGTCATGGCGGGCGACCTCGACATGGCGTACAAGTGCGTGGAGATGCTGGGCGACGCTCCCGACCCGGAGACTGGCGCCAAGCCCGAGGCATGGATCAGCCAGCAGACGTTGCTGGTGCTTGTGAGGAAGTCTCTCGATGCGCAGGATGAGCGTGTCTGGTGGTTGGTGGAGCAGGCGGAGCAGAGGAACATGGACGTCCAGTCTGGCATTGCGAAGCTGATGGTGTCGTTTGCGGAGCAGGTGAAGAGGACTACAGGGCTGGGAGAGGAGACTGGTGGGTTGGAGGACGATTCTGACGAGAGGCATCCTTGGACGTCGTGATGATTATGATATGTTGATCAGCTGTTGAATCGATCTTGGTAAATGTTAGTGTCTGTTTGTATGGAGAGGCATAGGTCGGATCAAACGTGCGTTGTCAGATGAACTCGATAAACCCTGAAGTTATTTTGAGGGTAGAAAACACAAAAGATCACGACACCAAGTAAAGCCACTTAAATGTTGCCCAGGACATCTTTACGATCTCATAATACCTGCTGAAGCTCCTTGTATTCGTCACTGTCTACCTATTGTCTACCTATTGTCTTCCTAATTAGACATCAAAAACTTGAAAGTAGAGGTAGACACAACACATGCTATCAGGGAATGTAACCAGTGATGCCGCTGCGAGCGAGTATGTCGTAGACGACGCGGTCGGTTACAGTACATTGTCTGTTTGCATCCGAGGCATGCTAGGTCTCTGGTTCGTCAAGACACATCGGCTCGCCAGCGTTCACATCCTCTTCGATCATGAGTTAGGCCATGGCCTGTGAAACGTCAAGATCCAGGTCCAAGTTTCGACTTACTGAAGGCGACTGTTGCTCCACGGGGCTGTCCACGCACATGGCGTCCTCGTCATTGAGTTGATCCGGGTTGCTGCTCGAGGCCATTGTCTCGGATGGGCAACGATAGTTCAAGATGATAATCTGGTTGATGTGACTCTCTAGGTGATGGGCGTTTTTGCAGTGTTGTTGATGGGGCGCAAGTGACAATGATGCAGTTGCAACGACGGTGTTGAATGGTGGTATTGTGCAGTTGTGGTGTACTGAGAGCAATCAGGGGCTGCGGACGATGGGCATCTTATAATGCTCACATCTTGAACACGCGTAAGATCCCACGGCGATTGGTTTGAGGCCAGTTTCAAGAGGACCCAGTGCGACATCGTTGAAGAAGACCACCAAACTCCTCAGACCATACACACAATGAACGTGTAATTGGAAGGCCGGACTTGTTCTTGACAAGTTTCAGATTGTAGCTTTGAGACTCTCATTGAGATGCAAGAAAAAGCACAAAGACCTATCTGATTATCGCGGCCGGATTTCTTGAGGAAGGTGGCCTTGTTATAAGCAGCATAACCTCAAGAGTTCTGCTATCTGGGCGGATAGTAGGCATCAACGATAATAGTGAGGATAATGACGACTAGAGACGACGTTAGGGATAGGGACTACAGGGACGATAACGACAACAGGAACGATAGGGAATACAGGCACGATAGTGACGACAAGGACGACAGGGACAATAGGAGTAATAGAATCATTGATATAAAATAAATTATTACAACTAACATGGTAGTTATCCGCCCGGATAGCAAGACTCCACCTCAAAGAAGGCTATGCGACAGGAAGACTTGACGAAAGGTCGCTAAACTGAAGTCCGGCAGCTAGAAAGAAGGTGAGGTATCCCGAGAATTGTGATGGATACCGATATGTTGAGCATATGTGACCGCTCAGAAGCCAGGCTGCCTAGGAAGTCAATGAAGTAGCAGGGGGGTAGAATAAAAGACATGAGCTCTGTCATTTCTGCATGAGGTAGACGAAACCTTGCGATACCCAAACAGAAGGGTGCATCTTAAAAGAGTATAATCTATCAGAAAAGCCTTTCGGATATTGGTTATGGGTGTATGTTAGTAGGGTAAAACATAGTTTTGTCATACTTGATAGCTGGAGAGACGATGAATCAAGCTTGATAGTTGTTACTGAAGATCCATTTGCTGCAGAGGATTCCAGAGCTGTTAATCGCGTCGGACTTAGCAAACACGGAGACTAGCACTATTCCCGCTCACCACCAGAGAGCCATGTGCAACATCCGGACGTTCGTTTGTCCCGATCTCAACCGGAAACCCGAGAGGGTGGTCCAGCGTGACTCATCTGCCGTCAATTAACCTTATCTAAACCGTTGTTGCCGGGATGCAGACATGAGACGTAGCTCAGGCACTAACGATATGAAGTTGGGCTCTGCTGACAGACTCCTCTCAGCTGAATAATTCGACCATTGTGCTTGAGAGGGTCTGCCTCATTGGCAGCCACAGGGGCATCCAAGCTTCAGCACATGAGACGACGTGAACACCTGGAATCATCATCTCGAGCTAGTTAAACAACCTCACGTCTCGTGAAGAAGCTTCCAAACGGCCAGGGGGATTTTGTCCAGTGGTGCTTACTGTATGCTGCAAACGTCCCTGACATGCCATCTGCCGACGTAAGCCACACACCAGCGCACCTCGACAGCTTTCTCTCAGGCTCTAAGCTTCAACATAGAAAAGGCATTCTAGTTGCTTGGCGGCATACGGATTTATAAGAGTCGGAGGAAAACATTTTCCCATTCGAGAATGGTGTAACCTGTAAGTCGGCGCGGGATGACGATTGGGCTTAAGCTTTTGACCCCAACCGCACATTAGCTCGGTTTCTTCCTTGCGGACAAACCAATCACAGACATCCTTCCAAACAGATTTACGAGGGATGCCGGATCTCGCTGATAAATACACCAAAATCCGTGGGGCGGATTAGTGATTCTGTCATGTACCGCCCGTTATCTCAATCTTACATGGAAGCACCAATGTCTGACCATCAGCACTATCGCGCTCTACACCTTCAGGGAACGCCAACTCCCTACACGGGTCTAGCGTGCTAAACTCCAGCGCCCGCCCGCAAGCCATCTCCCTCCCCACGGCGTCACGTCAGCCCTAGATGATGTCGTCTCTTGCTCCAGACGACTCGGAATGAATCGCAAAGTCCAGACGCGAAACGGGGGTCCAATGGCCCGGTGACACGGTTAGATCTTACCGCAGCAGATTTGAGACGTGGTAATCAGATTTGCCCATTGGGGAAACCGAGTGCCCCAGTCCCTGCGCCGCTGGAGCACGAAAGCAACCCAGACAGGCGGTACCATGCATGCGCTCCATCGTCCCTTTCCGGTAGCTTCGAAAGCTTCGATCCGGTGTGATTCATAATTGATATCAACACGCGCTAGAAAGGGGACTTGATTTCTTCCGCGTCGCGTTTAATGGTGCTCGTAAGCCCGGGCTGCCACGGACGGACGAAGGGTTGACACCTGCTCGGTCATCATTGACGTGCTAGGCGCGATGTTAGTCCCTTTGGTGTCGATGTAGAGGCTTGTTCCATTGTTCGTCCGAGATGATGATGAGTATATAGATGCCATGAATATCTCATGTCTAGAATCTCTTTTCTCACCACTCCATCAGCTTCAACATCAAGCATACTTGACCTGAAGGCATAGACACATAAGTCTAGAGCCTGCGACAGCAAACCAACCAACCCAACATCTCTCCATCGCAGGATTGGCATCATAGATACCAGCGCCCAAGCCACATCATCACACAACGTCTCAATGGCGAACCTAATCATAGACGCCCCGGTGGGCCAGCTCATCCGTCTCCTCACAGGGACGAAGTTTCTCCGCTACCCGGAAGAAGAGCCCGACTTCCAGCTCCCGCAACAATGGTTTGACGTTATGAATTCTCCCGATGAGAAGAACGACACCGCCGAACCCACCCCGGCCGTAACATCACCGGCGCCGGCCAGCTCCTCCGCTTCCAGCCACAGCGACGATGAGAACACAATCTCCAAGGAGAAGACAGCTGACGCCGGACCGTACGGTGTCGGGGCCACTCGGACGCGGAGCAGAGAGGAGACGGCTCCGTACTCACAGGAACGCTTGGAAGTCGACGAGGCTCACGAGATTGAAAGGACCAAGAGTATACCTATCGCACCGAAGAAGACCAAAGATGGTGCTATTTTGGTGGATTGGTACTTCTCCGACGACCTGAGCAATCCCCTGAATTGGTCTAACAACAAGCGCCTCCTCATCACTGCCATTATCTGCATCTACACATTTGTGGTGTATACTTCATCAGCAATATACACGAGCTCAATCGAGGGTGTCGTCAACGAGTTCGGCGTCAATCTCACTGAAGCTTCATTGGGCCTCGCCCTCTTCGTTCTGGGCTACGGCATCGGCCCACTGGTGTTCTCCCCCCTTTCCGAGATCCCCAGAATAGGCCGCAACCCGATTTACATTGTTACAATGCTTCTTTTTGTTATCGTCTCTATCCCTGCGCCTTTGGTCGACAACTACGCCGGTCTGATGGTCCTCCGTTTCCTGCAGGGTCTCTTCGGCTCTCCATGCCTTGCTTCGGGAGCTGCATCACTAGGTGACATCTACTCCATGATGAACCTATCCTACCCATTTGCACTCATCATGTGGACTAGCTCTGCATACTGCGGTAAGCAAGTCCCAATCGTATTTCTTATCAATATCGTTCTAATCATCAATTAGGTCCCGCTCTTGGCCCCCTCCTCTCAGGCTACGCTGTCACAGCCAAGGGTTGGCGCTGGTCCCTTTGGGAGATCCTCTGGGCCGCCGCCCCAGTCTTCATCGTGATGTTTATCTTCCTCCCCGAGACCTCCGCCCCCAACATCCTCCTCCGCCGCGCCAAACGACTCCGCAAGCTCACCGGCAACTCGCGCTTCATGTCTCAATCTGAGATCGACCAGCGGAACCTCAAGACCTCAGCCGTGGTTATCGACGCCCTCATCAAGCCCCTCGAGATCACACTCAAGGACCCGGCCATTCTCTTCGTTCAAATCTACACGGCCATCATCTACGGCATCTACTACAGCTTCTTCGAGGTATTCCCCCTCGTCTACCCGATCTACTACCACATGTCCCTCGGCCAGATCGGTCTCGTCTTCTTGTGTATCCTGGTCGCCTGCCTGATCGGCGTCGCCATGTACATGTCCTACCTCGCCTTCTACATGATCCCCCGCATCCGCAAGTTCGGCTTCCCCGTGCAGGAGAGCCGCCTTGTTCCTGCTCTGCCTGCAGCCTTCGGCCCCACGATCGGTCTCTTCATCTTCGCGTGGACTGCATCGCCTGCAATCCACTGGATTGCGCCGACGATCGGAATCACGGTCTATGGCGCCACAGTGTTCGTGGTAATGCAGTGCATCTTCGTGTACGTACCGCTGAGCTACCCGCAGTACGCAGCCAGCCTGTTTGCCGGCAACGACTTCTTCCGGTCGGCGCTGGCGTTTGCGAGCATCCTGTTCGCGAGACCGCTGTATGGCAACTTAGGTGTCGCAAGGGGCACGAGTCTGCTCGGTGGACTGAGCACGATTGGAATCATTGGAATCTGGCTGCTTTACTTCTACGGAGCGAGGTTGAGGGCCAGAAGTACCTTTGCTATCTCTGGATGAGCGAACCGAGGAATAGTCTACATTTGATGGAAATTGGCACAGCGTTGCGTGGAGTCTTTTGAGCTGGCTGGCTCTGTTTGATGGTATACCTAGGCTGGGGGAATCATAGGGAATTGCGAGTCTTAATGATATACATAATGCTTAGATTTCATGTCAATCTACACTGAAAAATTATTGAATCATACCTTGCGCACTTACATCGAACTCTCAAACCCTGGATCTGGTGCTGAGTCGAATGCTCTATGCTAACTAGCAAAACCCTCATACATAATGTAACGCGTAGCTTGGAATCTTTTCATAAACAGCTCCAGCGCGAATATTGACGCCGAGAATAGGAACACACACTCTTTATTCAAGTTTGCATTTGGATCGAGAAACAATTATCACTGAATCAATACTAGCTACACCATGTTTCGCCATACCTCCTCAATCACAAAGCTGTATGCTACGACGAACAGAAATTTTTCACAGAAGTCTCTCAATTCCCATTTGAACGGTGATGTCGAATGCATTCATGCCAACAACATATCTCGTGCAATTCGTGCTTGTAGTTGTTTGCAATTAAAATCCCGTCAACCTAATGAGATGTTCAATGTCGTGATACAATCATCGTAGCTGTCATACAAGCTGGAATTCTGGACCATAATCGATTGATTTGGGATATCCGTACGTTCTATTGCAACTTCAGCCGTAGCGCCAATTCATACTCTATGAGCACTCTCAGCCGAGCCTCTAGTGTAAAACGGGAGGGTAGGCGACACGAGTCAAACTACGAATTGCACCAAACCGCACCTCCTCCGGCACGAGAAGCGAGAGGCTGACAGCTCCGACTGACCCTGAAAAGACACCAAATTTTGACTCGTAGCCCAATTGCTACTCGGAGTTCGGACTTTTGACGAGACATACGTCAATATTTACGAAGAGATACCTATATGTAGGAACGTTTCCCGCGGGGCCCCATTTTGACAACATGAGCCTTTTCTTCTACAACAGGGCCAAAGTCCGAGAATATCTCCCAATTTCCATTTAAAAAAGTGGTGATCGTAGTGATTTTAGGCTAGCTGACAGGATGACGAAATCGAAAGACCCGATGGCGACAGCCGTTGATATGGCTCTGGTATCCATTTGGTCAACTATGGAGTCAACCCGGTTGGTCAACGGAAGGGACATGGACGGCCGAGTATCCACACCCGTTACACCGGGCCCCCCCGGACCGCCGTCTAGTTCACCTTTGAGTCGGGGCCCGGCCCCCTTTTGGAGTGACATTCGAAAGGTACTGCGTAGAAGCCGATGGGACTGTGAGGTCGGAGAAATGATGCACTTGTCCGTCATTGCTAATTAGCGCATGGTAATGAAATTCTTGATATGTAGTCGGTGTAGCCTCGACGGCGAGCTTGAAGGGAGAGGGCTTGGTTCTTCTTCTTCCGCGCTTTGCTTGTGAATCTTTGCTGCTGTTGGACACTCTCGGAAGTTGGAGGTCAATTGTTGCAATGTCATTTCTCAGTCTGCCAAAGCTGTTGACCGCGGCGCTCAGCGCCAGCGCCGTGGTAGCGCAGAACGTTCAACAGCGCCAACCCAACATCGTTTTCATTCTCACCGATGACCAGGATGAACAGCTCGGCTCACTCGACTACATGCCGTTCGTGCAGAAGCACTTCGTGAATGAGGGAACATATTACCGCAAGCACTTCTGCACTATTTCGATCTGCTGCCCGTCGCGAGTCAGCTTATTGACAGGCCAAGCTGCTCACAACACTAATGTCACCTACGTTACTCCGCCTCATGGTGAGCAAAGCCTGTCACGTTCCATCGCGAGACTTTCTGACCAGAATTCTACTCAGGTGGATATCCCAAGTTTGTCTCTCAGGGATACAATGAGAAGTACTTGCCTGTCTGGCTGCAGGATGCTGGCTACAACACCTACTACACGGGCAAGCTCTTCAACGCCCATAGCACCGACAACTGGAACAACCCCCACCCTAAGGGTTGGACCGGAAGTGATTGTAAGTGACCGGGAAGCTGAAGTATGATCGGAACCCAATTAACTTTACTGCCTAGTCCTGCTTGATCCCAACACCTACCTTTACTTGAACGCGACATTCCAAAGAAACGACAGCCCGCCTCAGACGTACCCCGGGGAGTACAGCAATGATCTGGTCGCTGAGAGGGCACTTGGTTTCTTAGATGACGCCCTCAAGTTCAACGGCAGCAAGCCTTTCTTCGTCGGTATTGCGCCCATTGGGCCTCACAACAACGGCCTTGGTGGTGAGACAAGCGCCGGAGCTACGCCACCGATTCCCGCCAAGAGACATGAGAACCTTTTCCCCAACATCACAGTTCCCCGGACTTACAATTTCAACCCAGATAAGGTAAGTCTCGACCTTTTTTTTTGAAGTACTTGTCAAAGGAACAGTATGTTTAACACGACAAAAAAAAACAGCCTAGTATGGCCAACTGGGGCTTGATTATCCCCAAGCTCAACTCCTCTGAAATCGCCTACGGTGACAACTACTACCGCCGCCGCCTCCAGACACTGCAATCTGTCGATGAGATGGTCGATGCTGTTTTCAAGCGTCTCGAAGATGCCGGCGTTCTCGACAACACCTACGTCATTTTCACTTCCGACAACGGTTTTCACATTGGCCAGCACCGTCTCAAGCCCGGAAAGACCTGCGCCATCGAGGAGGACATCAACGTTCCGTTCCTCATCCGTGGACCCGGTGTTCCCAAGGGAAAGACGGTGGACTTTGTCACTACCCACACTGACATCGCGCCCACCATCTTTTCAATTGCCAACATCACCCTCCGCGATGACTTCGATGGGTCACCTATCCCTTTCTTGGAAGACGGGATCGCGAAGGCACAGAACGATCCCAAGCATGATCACGTGAACGTCGAGTTCTGGGGCACGCAACGTGGTTATGATGTTTTTGGAGGAGGTGAGAAGAACCGTGGAATCGAAACGGAGCTTTCACTGACTAAATTGTGCAGTCTCGGCCAACAACACTTACAAAGCCATGCGTGTTCTTGGTGATGGGTACAGCTTGTTCTACTCCGTATGGTGCAGCAATGAACGCGAGTTCTACGACATGAAGGTAAGTTGACATGTCGAACTCCGAAGCTGCGAATAGAATGATTGCTGACGCCCAGAGCAGAAGGACCCGGGCCAGATGGACAACCTGGCTGGTAGCGCAACTGGCCAACTCCTGGATAGGCCACTGTCATCTGTGAAAGACCGCCTGGATGCCCTTCTCTTAGTCCTGAAAAGCTGCAAGGCGGAGAGTTGCAGACTCCCTTGGAGTCAGATCCACCCCGATGGAACTGTCAACAACCTTCGCGATGCTCTTGACGCCAAGTATGACGACTTCTACGCTGGACAGCCAAAGATTTCGTTCTCGGACTGCAAGGACTTTTACGACATTGGATCCGAGGGACCACAGGAGCTCTTGCACTACGACCCGTGAGTCATGTGTGCCTGAAGTTCAATGACAAAGCATGAATAATGAATGGTGTATAGAAAATCTACTGCTGTTGGAAGCCCGTGGCAGCTGCCAGAGTTTGAGGAGCTGTAAAGGTTTCCAGCGTGACACATTGGATACAACAGAAGTAATAGAATGATTTGATGCCCTGAAATCTTGCAAGAGTTTGCCACGAGATCGTAATCACAATTCAAGATGACTTGAGCATTGTCGCACCATGACGTCGGCCAAGCCCTGTCATGAGTTCGTGTCTGGGCGGCTTATTGGACAGGAACATTTCTCCGAGCCTCTGTTGAATCAATTGCGAGCCAACTCAGAGCCACCAACGATATTTGTGGGCTACAGGAGGTTGGGCAAAGTTCTTTCTAACGAGTCTGAGTTACTTAATTCAATGCTAATGATACAGAAGCTGTATTCATGCAGTCTATCAGCCAGAGGAAACTAGAGAAGCCTAAGTGCATCTCGGGCTTGTCGGAGCAACAAGCCGCTCAATCCACCTCGACTTTCAGCCGGGACGCAAGTCTGACGCCGTACCATACCATGGCAAAGATTGAGATCAAATTGAGATGAATGCTCATGGCATGGTTTCGAGAAAATCGCCTCCGGCAGGCTTGCATGTCTGGGCTAATCTCATCAACGACGTCCGGCTGTTTTGCGTCGCGAGTTTCTGTATTCGAGTGTTAGCAACAATATATTGACGAAATGAATGCGACTCTTCATTACCCTGATGAATACGATCAATCATCGCTTGTTTCGTTCTGGGGCCATAGATGAACAGGTTCAGGATTGCGGTGATGCCAGCAATGGCAAACGCAACCCAATCCCGCTTGTCTTTCAGTAGAGATGCTGGCCCACTAGGCGGGAATGTAAGTGCCGTTACAACCAGCAAGATAGATTGACATCGAAAGTAGATGGGGAAAAGTCGTTTTTGTAGGGTTGTGAAAGCAGTCTTCGGAAGCTCGTTGTAACAAACTTTGGTGTTGACGAAGGTCTGGAAGAGGGTTGTGCCCAGTAGAGTTGCGTATGAGATGATGTGGCAAGGTGCTAACAGAGTCGCCATGGTTGATGAAGATGATTGGATTGGGGTAGAGATTATCATGTCAAAACCAGCCATCTAGCAATATAGTTTGAAAGTGAAGAAGCAGTTGAAAAATTGGGAGCATCTTCACTTTTATCTCAACCAAGTTCCGCGCGTGTTAATCTAGATGTGCATTAACGTTCCGGCGAACTGTAAGTTCCGAACACCTTCGGATAGAATGCTAGGTGGCTGTGCGTACCTAAAACTAGAGGGAGGAACAGTGGCTTACAGCCGCCCCCACCACGGAGACTCCCACTACCACTCGACAGCTGGTCTGGTCGAGGCTTCCGAAAGGATTCGGAGCGGCGGAAAAGTAAGCATTTTGCTAATTCCAGGCCACTTGATTGGCCTGAGTAAGAATACATGTCTTGCTTTATTATCATCATGTAGCTGATGAGCCACGCCTCCAATCACGTGCAAATCATGCACTACTCTGTGGACTGTCACTCTGGATGGTCTTCTGTGAATGGTACAAACATTGAATAGATGCAAGATTAGGAGCGTGAATGCTGATGCTTCCACTCTGGGAGAGCTTACATGCTCTTGAAATAGTCACGCTGATCATTGAGAACAATGCTGGCCGTTTGTCTGTTGGACCTCAACCTTGCGACAGCATTTGGCTGGTTGAGATGACGATTGTCTGCAAGAAGTCATGATCGACAATGACATCTGTTTTAATGCTGACATTGATATGAGATATGAACCCTCTTCATGAATGATCTACCAATATGTAAGCACATGCTTACATCTCGCCTATAATTCAACTGTCGGTCGGCCTTATCCCGATGATGCCCCGTTCGTTTAAGCTCACCACCCATGACTTGGTTCGTCTTAGAAAGAGGAGCTCGGAAGTCTCGACTTCTGCCCAAAATGTGGCGGTAGCTGACACTCCTGTAATTTTACAGTGGACCACGCAACTCGAACCGCCCGAAAACCCGTGCGCACGTTGCAGCCGGATGCCGTATGACGCCCGCATGCTTCCCGCATGTCACCCACCTTCCATCCCGCGATCGTCGCAGCTCCAAGTGCCGCGATATGATACGGGGAATTATGTGGTAACTGAAACCCTCGGCGCATATAGTACTGCAATGCACCACAACATACCGCCTTCGCCAAACGTATTGTAGAACTAATTGGCCTGTTTATGACGTGGAAGCGAGAGTTCACGTCGTGGAGAAAAAGCAAGCATATTGACTCGGAGGCTGGAGCTATCCGTACATCATGGGGGCTTGGTCGAGATGGAGATGGAGATGGAACCTTAGAAGAAACGGTATATAAGTTTCTATGATCACTTCATCACAAAACACATTGGGCAGGCGCTTCTTCACTCATTCTCTATTACAAATATGGACATGGCTTTGCCTACAACACGGCTCACGGGTCTCGCAGACTCCTACCCGGTGATAGCGGCAGTCTCTGCTGCAATCAGTGTGGTTTGTTCTCAATTTGTGATGATTTCTATCATGTGCGCTGACTAGAAGCCTCGGACAGGCCATCGTATACTTCATCGTCCTCCTTCCGCTATATAACATACTACTACACCCTCTCCGGAAGTATCCTGGCCCAAAGCTATGGGCGGCTTCCCAAATCCCGTGGCTTCGCTCTTACACGGGCGGGCTTTACCACGTCAAGCTCCGCGATATGCACGAAAAGTACGGCCCCGTTATTCGAGTTGGTCCCAATGAGCTGTCCTTCACGTCACCAGAGGCGTGGCAAGCGATCATGGGCCACCGTAAGTCGGGCGAAGTAGAAAACGGCAAGCCGGCTTTCTACGCTGTCCCACCACTCATCACCGGTCTCAACCGAACTGACCACTCACGCGTCCGGCGACTTATGTCTCACGGATTTTCGTCAGCAGCGCTTCGAGACCAGGAACCGATGATCAGGGGCTACATCGACTTGCTGATCCAGCGTCTCCATGAGAACAGCCAACAAGGCCGTAAAGCGGTTGACATTTGTGCGTGGTTTAACTACACGACTTTCGATATCATTGGGGACTTGACTTTTGGAGAGCCGTTCGGCTGTCTGCAACAATCAGCTATGCACCCGTGGGTCGAATTGGTCTTTGCAAATGTCAAGACCTCGGCTATGCGGTCTGCACTTGCTCGGTTCCCAGTCGCGAACCATCTGCTCCCATTCTTCGTCACCCCTCAACTTGTTAGAAAGGCGGCTGAGCACAAGGAACTTACACGAGAGAAGGTGTCTAAGCGCTTGACATTGACAGATGCCAGACCTGACCTGGTGCATGGCATGACCGTTGGAAAAGGTGGCTTGGTATGTGTGATGATTTGCAACTTTACGTTTGAAAACCTGAGGCTGACGTGGTACACAGACCGTCTCTCGTGAGGAGTTGAACGAGAACTCCGAAGGACTCATCATTGCTGGCTCGGAGACCACAGCCACTGCCCTTTCAGGGGCCATCTACATGCTGACGACACACCCTGCGATCCTCAAGACGTTGGCTGAAGAGATTCGATCTGCATTTACCTCTGAGTCAGAGATGAATTCTATCAACACCGCGCATCTTCCATATCTTCAGGCTGTTCTTGAGGAAACCCTGCGTTTCTTTTCTCCGGCACCCAATGCTTTGCCTCGGATCACACCACCGGAGGGCAATCTTGTTCTGGGAAAGAGAGTCCCAGGAAATGTGAGTTCAAGATGTTATCAAAATTCAAAATTGCTTGCATGCATTATTTCTAACAATCCATCAGACCGTGTTGTCAGTTCCGCATTGGGCCATGTATCACAGCAGCAGCAATTTTAGCCGACCTGACGAGTTCATCCCCAACCGGTGGCTTGACGACCCACAGTTCGCCGGTGACCGAAAGGAGTGTATGAATGTGTTCTCCTTTGGTCCGCGCAACTGTATTGGAAAGAAGTAAGACTCGAAAAGTATGGTATTCAACCGTTTCTTTTGCTAATGAAATCTAGCTTGGCGTATGTTGAGATGCGCATGTTCCTTGCTCGTGTGATCTGGAACTTCGATATCGAACTTGCGGCAGAGAGCATGGACTGGCTGCAGAAGGGTCGCTCGTTCAGTGTGTGGGCTAAGCATCCTCTCATGGTCCACTTGGCCCCTCGGCCGGTGGCTGTGTAGGGCAAGCAACTTTCTTTCTGGAAGTGCGAAGTTCCATTTCAACGAAGGTAAGCTAAATACTTTGGCGTATTACGTGTTCTAGAGACAATCCGTATTAAATAGCGATCTTTGGCCGACATTTCAGCCCGGAAGTTGTGGGGTGTGAAACATTCTGCACACTGTACCTATGGAAGAAACTTGTTCCTGAGTACGACGACCTCGGACTCAGTGCTATTTCGCGGCTGGTTTGATAGAACAATGCCTGCAACTTGAAATTAGAGATAGACTGAGAACGATTGAATTGGCGAACATGCAGTCGGAACTGACCAATTGTGAGGGTGATGATTCAACGACGATCCACCGCTCGGGGGCTAAATCGCCCCCGCGCCGAGTGCCCCATGTCAACTGATTCCGCTGTTAAGGAGGTCCCTGGCGTTTGCTGTGCATGAGCTCCCAAGCCAAGTAGGCCCCTAACTCCCACTGTGACGGACATCGGTAATGCAAAGCGGGCCGGCCCTCATCGTAAACTTGGTGCATTTCCTTCCCCGCGACTGGACTTAATTTGGTTAATTCCTCCGCTCTCTTCTTTCTCATCTGTCATCGTATCGGAATGGCGTCACCCCTTGACAAACTAACATCGGTTTTCCCTTGCCCGGGATGTGGCATGGAATTCCAGCGCCAAGATCATCTAAAAAGGCACGTTTTCCTCCATGAGGATTACAAGCCTTTCGCTTGTTCCAAATGCAGGCGTCATTTCTCTAGAAGGTGTGTTTGACTTCGGAGGACAAGAGGTATTCCCATATATCTAAAACAAGTACTGAAGGCGAGAACCCTGACAGAGACACCCTTGAGCGACACGAATTGGTCCACGAACCCTCAATTAAGCAAAATTTGAAGGTGGCCGACAAGATCCGGGGAGCCAAAGCTTGTGTCCCTTGTCGCACCGCCAAACAGAGGTGCGATGGCGACGGACTGCAACCTTGTACTAGATGTGCGCAAAAGGAAAGACAATGTCAATATTTACCTCGTCGCGCCCGACAGGTAAGACCTTATAGAATTCTTCATCCCGCAAAGCGATCTCCTATCATTGATAACTGACGGCCCCTTCTCAGTCTTCGAGGTTTAAGTCTCACGTCAGACGAGAGTCTAGATCAACGAGCACGAGACCCGTCACTGAGTCGGAGAGGGCATCAGTAGAAACTTTACCCTCACATTCAATAGGCCCACTGGAAACCCCCATCCTATCTGACTTTGACACCATGAATACAGGCGGTGAGGCAGATATGGTACTCGTCACCTGTGACGCCTCTCCCACCGCATGGGATGAGATCTTCTCCACGACTTGGAACGAAGCACAATTGCATGTTAACAATGCTGCACTGCAAATGGTGAACTTCGCAAGTCCTATGGCCTTTCCAAATCTTCCGTCTGGAAATTGGCCAGCACTGGGAACGACTAATGAAACCTTCACGATCGATCCCGTGTCCACTCCTCTCTTACTTCAATCTACAACCCAGCACCAGCACGACCAAACGCTCATTTCAGCATCTCCGAGCTTAGACGCCGATCTGGAGAACTTAGGTCACGTACCTGAGCTCACCTCGGAGACATTTGAGGATCTGAGTGCATGGGTTTGCACGATGAGTCGTATGACAAGACCCGTCGATTCATTCTCAAGCCTATCTCTAAACACCTTGAACGCTTTCATACAGCTCTACTTCGAAGAGTTCCACGACATATTACCCATAATCCATCGGCCAACGTTCGATCCCAACTTCGCCCCGTATTTGCTGGTATTGGCCGTTGGTAATGTTGGGCGGCGCTTCTCAAAGTTGGCTGGAGAAATGTGCTCTGGGACTGAACTTGACCAATTTGTCTACCATGCTGCACAGCACCACGTATGTAATATGTTCCCTTTTGTATCAGGTTGTTTCTAGCGTCTAATACAAAGTATAGGTCGGGAATCTGCCACCAAACGACACCATTCCGGCTTGGCTAGCTCAAACAGTGCTTCTCAGCCAGGTGTCAATGGCCTTCTCCAACGACAAACAGAATGTGGAAAGGAGTAAGGTAACAAGAGGCATTCTGGCCGTCACTTTGGGGAAACTTGAGCCTCGGTTGGAGGCAGCCGCCACGACCATTTACACAGATACAGCGCCGTCGAACGTCCAAACGCAGTGGGAAGCCTGGATTGAGTGGGAAGTATTGCGACGTACGGCGTTTGGTCTATGGGTGAGCTACTACCGCGCTTCACACTTGTTACTTGTTGAGTCTAACGTTGTCGTAGCTTCTGGATAGTCAATGCTGCCTGCTCTTCGATCTCACGCCAGTTGTGCCTACAGAGGCTCTCGCAACGCAAATGCCACTTCCTTGTCATGAACGACTTTGGGAGAAGTCATCTGCCTCGGCATGGGAAAAGGCATGCGAAGGTAGGCTCGAAATTGCCTCTTGAGGAAACTTCTGCTTGCTCCGAGTGCTAACAGTTTAGAAAACAACGACCTGTCTACATTACGGGAAGAAATGCAGTCACTATACAAACAGAACCCATTGCCAGAAAACGTGGGGGGTTTTGCACTCTTACTCCTGCTCTTCTGCTTTTTCCGAGACCACCTGTTCTTGAAACAGGTCGAAAACCAAGGCCTCTCAGCAGTGAATAACGACGAGGAACGAGTCACTTCTGGTATGAGTCGTTGGTCAAGGACTTGGCTGCTCTTAGATCCGACCAAGCGACCAAATTCCACGCGCATCAGAACCGTCGCAATTCAGTATTATCATATCATTGGTCTTATTATAGAATTACCCCTGAAGGATCTGTATGCGTTTGCAGGATGGAGAGTCACGCGATTCAAGCAGCGCGAGACTAGACAAAGATTGATGGCATGGGTTTCAGAGCACGGAGATAGGGCGAGGTCTGCGGCACTTCATGCTGGAAGGATATTTCGCCAGTGTCGAAACCGTTCCTCCTGTGGCTACCAGGAACCTTGCGCAATGCTCATCGCGAGCCTTACTCTCTGGATGTACAACAGCTCGTTGACAACCCAGTTGCTGGCATGCCGCGAGAGCTACATTGAGCAAAACCAATCCCCCATACTCCGACTCGACGAAGACAGCGACCGTGAAGAGGCATGGGATTGGATACAGACGGGGAAAAAAGCGCGTCCATTCGTTGCTGGCATTGGTGATATCCACATGCCCGGAGGTCACTCCAAGGCCGTGAATCAAGCCATCAACATTCTGTCGTCGCTGAAGGAATGGCAAATCGGGCAGTTGTTCTCTGTCACTTTGAAAGACTTGATTGTGTTATTTGACAGAGACACTATGAATTAGTGCAAGAAGTACACGTCCTGCCAATTCGAAAACCATCATGCGCTGACCTGGCAGCTTTGAAGCTTGCGCCTAACCCGGCACCCTTCTTTTAAACTCAGGCTCGCGGTGACACCTGAAGAGGAAGACCTCCCTCCAACTCTACAGTGAAGTTGTCGACCCGTCTGGGAGGTAAGAATCCAGAAGGAAAGGTGATCTTGTACTTTCGAAGGATGGAAGCGAGAATAAGTGTCAACTCAACGGGCACCAGGCTAGAGGTTGGGGCTGCAGTCAGCAAATGAAGTATCAACACGAGCGAAATTGCTTTGAGCTTACTTTTGGCCAATGCACATTCTTGCGCCTTTGCTGAAAGCGACCTGATACTGATCCAGGCCCTTTGCTTCGGGGCCCAACCAGCGATTAGGGTTAAATAATCGAGCATCAGGGCCCCAAAGATCAACACTCGAATGCATCGTATGAGCTGACATAGACACAATGGTCTGTCATAGTCAGTGGGTTTTCACACCAAGCCAGCATTAAGTCAAACTTACACCAGGAGGAACAACCTTTCCGTCTACAACGAGAGGCTCCGACAAGTTATGAGGCACGATGCGTGGAAGCCTAGAAGGCACTGCTGAAGCAAGACGAATGCCTTCTTTAACGCAAGCGGTCTATCAGTGCTATCAGTCAGTCTTCAAGTAAAACCCAATGGCACTGTCTGAGTCACTCACCAAATACTCGATCTTTTCCAAAGTCTGGAGCGGGGGCAAATCATTCTTGTCCGGAATAGCAGCGTCAAGCTCTTCGACCAATCTCTTCTCTATGGCGGGATTACGCAGAATCTCGAAGAGAGCGGTGGTCACGGACGTAGCGCTCGTGTCAGACCCGGCCACCAAAAGATCAAGAGATTCGCCAACCAATGCAACATCCGACAGCGATGTCAGATTTTCGAGAACAATGGGATGATTGACAGCCGCTTTTGATCCGTCAGACTTGCGCCAGCGGTTCACACACTGCTCCGCATACTAAACTCCACGGACTCGGGGTCAGACAGATAATGCTTCAACTACCGGTTTGAAGAAGTCTTGTGACCAGGAGCTACTTACATCGGTCAAATGAATGAGGTTGCCTAGTTCTGGAGAGACAACTTTCAGCAATGCCACAGGGATCGCGTTGCTGACTATGCGCAATAAGGGGTATTGCTGCAGGGTCTTCAGCGCCGATGCAGCAACGCTGAAAGCTGTAAGGAATTGCGACTTGAAACTGTCGGGCTGCTCCTCCAGCATACCGCGACTATCGGCAAAACAAAACTCCATAATGATGTTGGTAGTCAGGAGTCTGCTGAGACGTCAATCCACGGACCAAGCAAAATGAATCAGGGGTCAAGAAGATTAACCGTTTCATAGAGAGACGTACCGAAACGCATCATAAAAGTCAATGTTCTGCTTCTCACGAAGCCTTTCAATCTTGATCTCCAAGAGCGCCAATCGCTCACGAATAAGACCCTCCAGCTTGAGGACACCTGCACGCGAGAACATGGGGTTCAGCATGCGTCGCCGTTCTTTGTGCTTAGCCTCGTCCATCTCGGTGAAGACCGTGGGAGACGGCGCATTAAATGCCAGGTAGAAAGGCTCATTCTTGGGAAAAGGGTTAGATTGCCTGTAGATAACCTTGTAAAGGTTCGTATCGGTAATGTGAAGCTCATTTGGCGCGATTCTAATGGCTTTGGCGTCTGCCCTCGTTGTCAGCTGTAACATTCAACCGGTATCACAGAGATCAGAAGGGCAGTCTTACCATATTTATGATGGATTTGCTCATAAATATCTTCAGGGTAATCCTTCTGGGTTTGTTGGTACAGCCAACTATGCGATTTGGCCGCTTGTCTTGGCCCAGGGAAGTTGCTTAGGGGATGCAGGTAAACACGGTAAAGCCCTCGAAGGTAGGAAAAAAGAACGAAGACGAGAACAGCCGCAGGAAAACTGAAGGCGGTTCGGGCTGAGAGAACCGAGTCGTTGAAATGCGGCTGCCATGTGGTAAAATTATCGAAAGACATGGCTGTTTTAGACGTTGAAATCTGATGTTAAAGAGATTGGTTAGAAGAAAGTTGATATGTGAAGCTTCCTTCTCAACGGGTTTTATACAAAAGAAAGGTGTCTTCTTTTAGGCGGGATTCTTTCCATCAGTACAGCTTATGACACAATGGGCCAGTGATTTGAGGAGCCGACGAGACGAATCGCCGACGCTAAATTGAGGAGCCGATTGCGCTGATGCCGTTGTGGAGATTTCGGCTCCTCGATTTGTGGGGCGACAAGCCGACCGGGCGGCAGGCCCCGATACTGCCGCTACCGTAGTTGGAGACTGGTCTCCCCTAGCATTATTGATGTCATTTGCATTGCAGTTTGAGAGAGTCTTACGACTTGGGCGAACTACTGGAAGTGCCGTTAGGCTTAATCCAAGTAGTTGCAGACGTGATCTTTCCACCGGTTTTACACTGGACCTTGAGGGGGTCTGAGAAACTGGGAAAAAACAAGAAGATGAGATGATTCTTGCTAATAGTTCTTTTCTTCTTCTTTTTCCTTTTTTTAATTCTTGTTTTTATCTTGATTGATTACCTCGTCATTGTGCATTTGTCGACATTTGGTCTCCTGCGGATATGCGCTCCATCCATTGGACATGGCCTGGTTCACAGAGCGGAAATGTTGCGCATCCCGCCGGCGTTGAGTGGATTGCTGTAATTAATAGATCGCCTTACCCGTAACTTTCAACATTGCGCAAATTCTCCGAGCCGTAAAAGTTTCAAGGGGTTCATAAGATGAACAATGCTGGATCGCAACGCAGCCGCATCCGGTGGGATAAAGCTTGGGCGCAGAGGAATTTCTGCCGCAGTGCCCACATGGTCAAACTCTACTGACGACATGTCGAGGTTATCTCTCTGCTCACATACAATAAATCGGTTGTAGACCAACTTTATGTTTAAAGAAATGGAAGTTTTCCAAAGCTTAGGCCAAAATCATTGCTTCATTTTCCCTCTAAATCTATGTACTCAAAATCACCGACTTCGCCCAACTCATTCATGACATCTATGCCTCAACGCCGAGGGTGATGTAAGCGAGCATGCCCTTGGTGACGTCCTCGCCGTCAAGAGGCTCAACGATCATGTTCGGGTTCCAGCCGCCAACGACCTCAGCAGCGAAGATGGAATCGATGTCGTTGGTGGTGCGGTTGATCTCGGTGTGGCTGACGTAGGGCTCCAGAGCCATGATCTGGGCGCTGAGCTCCTCGTCGAAGAAGATCTGGCCGGTGTTGGCAATGTTGGAGCCGACGATGGTGCCGTTGCTGCGGACGGACCAGTCGGTGTGGACCTGGGCGTGGATGTGGATGGTGCGCTCGACGTAGAAGCCGGGGAAGACGGTCTTCATTTCCATGATGCCGTTGCTATCGGTGGGCCACATGCCGCGGAGCCAGGTGGTGTCGTCGGTGTGCAAATCCAGGTCGGGGCCGATGGTCATGTTCAGCTGCTCGAGGAGCTCCTCGAAGGGAGTGTTCGGGTCGCGTCCGGTGAAAGAGCTGTAAGAGCCGGTCTGGAGCAAAACTCGTTAGTTTACTTCCTTGATATCTTGAGAATCTATTAGGGGTTCCACTTACAGCATTGCAATGCCACAAATCGACCAAGACATCCTCCATGACTTCGCAAGTGTTGATGTTGAGAACACCGATATCCAGGTAGAGAGGAACACCGGCCTGGTCCTCGCTCATGTCCTGACGCAGAGTCTGCGATTGGGGCCAGACGTAAGGTCCCTTGGTAACCTCAGGGGTCAGGACGCAGGTGTCATTCTGCAGAGTGTTGTAGTGGGGGCCCTCGGTGTGAATGGTGACGTTGGAGTCGCGGGCGGCGAGGTGGCGGCTAGCAAGCGAGCGCTTCTCAGCGTGACGCCTCTTGCGGACCTCGCTGAACTGACCGGCCTGGACGGCGCAACGCTTGGAAAGGTTTCCGCGGCGGACCATTTCAGTGTGGCTCAGGCCGTGCTCATGGCCGGGATGGGCGACAGCCACACCCGTAAGGAGCGCAGTAGCGAATGCGAGGAGTTGGAACTGCATTGTAAAGAATGTTACCGGGGGGCTAAAGAATGTGTAAAGACGGACGAATGAGAGTGTCTGGAAATGCAGGCTACAGATTTCAGCTGATGTTCTGTTCGCTGATCAAACGGCGAAGACGATCACTCTTTATAAGTCTCTCGACGGTTCCGCGTATGCTTTTCACCTTCCCCAAATAGATCAAAAGCCTTTCGTTGCATCGCCCCAAAGGCACCCCTGAGCAGTCCCCAGAGATGTTCATCTCATCGCGACTTTGCTTTTGTCATCCCCCTTCTCATCAGCGCTCAGATTCTCAAACCGCCAACCATTTCGCGAGCCAGATGTTCCACGATCTCCACTGACGTCGGGTGAACGAAAAATGTCGCTCCCACATCCCGAAGAACCACGACCAGATCAATTGCCTTGCCCGGCCCTCCAAGAAACAGGCAGCCAATCAAAACGGAGGTATTACCGTTGGGCACCGGGGTTCGGGGCTCTAAGACCGCATCCGGGCTCCACCCGTGCGGGCCGCCAAGAATCCTGGCCGCGTAAGTTCAGGGGCGCTCCCGCTTCGCCGCTACGTCAAGGCGAGTCAAATGCTATCCCGTCGGCCTTGCATACTCCATGGATGATGGGGGCCTCGCGGCAGGAGGCGCGGTAGTGCCGACTATGTGTTGATCTTGGTGTTGTCATGGAGGTGGATAGGCGATTTCTTCCCAGGGCCAGATGCCATTGTCAGATCCGCATCTGTTACCACCCTGGTCCGGAATGCGGGCGCGAACAAGCTTGCCCGTCAACCAAATTTGTAGACATCCAAGACGATCATCAGGCTGGGCGTAACGTCTACACCGATTCTGGAAGGTATGGGAGACAAGGAGCGGAATGTTCCCCCCTGACTGTGGGATTTGCCTATGATTGAGGCTGACGCGGGCATACCGAGAGAACCAGTTCGGGTGTACGTCGTCTTTATGCGTACCACGTAGCGGTATCCTGCCAGAACTGACGGATAGAATGTGGGCAATTTGTAATCTAGAGCCTTTACGCCAAGGTCTACTATGAATATCGTTGTTTGACATAAGGTAAACCGAGAATCCCCGTCGACGGCACCCAGCATACCCTAGCCGAAGCACTTCTTCTTAGCCTTTCTCAACTCTGCCTCCAGACGAAGTCGCATTCGAATCCAAACCCAGCGACCCCAAATGGCCAACCGGTGTCGATTAATATTTTGTAATGGAATTTCCGCCCCTTGCCATTGGTGAGACCTCCACCTCGGGTCCGTCGTAGTCTCTCCTTCGCCAAGATCTTTATAAGAGATGAGGTCAATCTTTCCACCGCCATCGCGAAGACAGTAGGTATAGCTTGTGTGGCAGAAATCGCAGGTCTCAATTCCCCCAAAAACTTTCTTCTGGCGCTTTGACAGGCGAACTTTGGCCTGGAAGTTATCTGACTCGTGGGTTTCGATCGTACTTGGGTTGAAGATGAAGGTGTATTTCCGCTGCCAAGTCATGTGCGCACAACAATGTGACCGGTCTGCACTCTTGCTCAAAATATCCAGGTAAAGCGACTTGTCAATATTAATCGACGACGTCCCGGAACATACATATTTGTAGGTTTGCAGCTTTATCTTGGTACAGAGGATCATTCGACCTCTCGATACCAGAAACTCTGTGTCGTGGTGGACATGAGGGCGACTGTAACCGTTCTTGTCAAACTTACCATACCAGCGTTGACTCATCGGCAGCAGATCTTTGGGGCGGCACAAGCCCCCCAGTCGATACCGTGTCATGGCGACCCTGATCGTTTCGTAGTCGAGACCGCTTGGAAGCCATGGCGATGGATCCCAGTCTGGCCGCGATCTCTGATACTTCCGGACACAGGGACGAGATTCGCCAAAGATCCGCTGGTACTCTTCGTCCCTCGCAATAGTCCAAGAAAGCTCTGGCGGATGTACCGCCACACATCGCGGGCAGAAAAAGAGTGAGAGGTCGCGGAGGTCTCGTTCTAGTAAAAGGAGGAGCTCGCGCCGACAGTCGGAACGCTTTTGCAGTGTCAAGCTCTCTGAGCCGAGGCTCAACAGCATTGGTTTGCAAGTGAGGGCCAATGCCGCTCGCTCAAATGAGGTCAAGTAGTCAACTACGCAAAGGTGCAGATCCGTGGACAGAAGCTGGAGGTTTCTGATGTTTGGAGGCTTTGCGGCGGCTTGAACTGAATCAATCACCTGAAGGAATTTCGGCCGAAACCAACGTGGAAATTGAGACTTACTTTCCATAGCTATTACCGGCGACATCGTAGGTGTTGTTGTCTTATTCTGACCTCAGTGGATGGTTGCTGATTAGGAGAGAAGAATCGACGACTGCTTTATTCGATGAATTGCATGACTTCGGCTTTAGTGTTGAGATGTTTTGCAAGAAATTTCTAGCGGTCATCGTAGCAAACTTTTGAACCAACAAGGTATTTTAAAAACTTTGCCAGCGTATCTCACCCGGACCACACATTCCCGACGTTCGTCGTCGTTATTATGGCCAATCGGTTGCGCCGACCTTTCTACTTTCTTTCAACTACAATAATAAGAATTTCATAACGCTTCGACGACAATTCCATATTTGACCGATTGTTCTTTAGTATTTTTCTTTTCGTAACCAGAAGCCTCTGTTAATGTTGCTCAACACGTGCACCAACATTGAGCACCGTTTGTCTTTGAATGCGTTTTGCTGTCCAGGCAATACACTTAGCTAGTTAGGCAGAGTATAAGTAATACTAAGCTTCAATCTAATGAGACTTCCTTGTTTTCATGCGTTTTTAGGGCTATATCTCCTTTACACTCAACTTCTGATGTTGCCGACGATAGTCACGATGACGACAAAAAAATAACGACGACGACGACGGCAGTAATCACAACGAAGCTAGTAACGATAACGACAATAGTAGATGAGTAATTACTTCGACAATAGTAAAGTAGAGTAAAGTGTATAACCATGGGAAAAATAGGCAGTCCATTCTAATCATCCTAGGTACCTGTTGTCTGTACTGTCGTCTTCCTTTATCACTCCTATCGTCGTCGTTCCCAGTGTCCTTTCAATTATCTTTACTACCCCAACCTTAGTAAGGTAGTTCGGAAACTTCAACCTGAATGAAACAGTACTCTCTCGAATCAGCTGGCAGCCTACCTGATGCGAACTTCATGCCTTTTGCATTGATGGTAGCTCGATGCCACATGCAAGTCATGCTTCAACCAACTGCATACTCGCACAACGGTTACTAGCTAGGCCGGCTTACGAGTACAATACAAAGCCGAGCCAAGTTATTCCATGGTTGTCAATACACAGGTAGCCGCTGCTGATCTAGAATCTAACATCAGATGGGCAGTTAACACCGAGAGCTATGTAGCTAGCTGTTATCAACCATCTTCAAGCAATTGCTTCCGAACACAGTAGACCTGTTTGTCGACGTCGCCGAAGCGTCGGTGTGAAGATCACACCGGCTCTAAGGGGCGGGAACTTTGTCGAGACCGGCGGACCGCAGCAGTTCGGATGACGGCGGCCAAGTGGATCTTCCCGACGGGAAAATCGGCGGGAGCACGCTGCACGATTCTCGAACCAAGATCGATACATCTGTGTACCTGTAAGAACCAGCTGACTGACTCGTCGCTGAGGCTTTGGATGGCGCAGCGCGCCCCGTAGGCTCCAGTGACGGCATGCCCTTCGGCGCCCGAATTGCTGGGCGTTGGGGCCAAAACAGGATGGAAATGCAAAGAAGTCTAGACCGACATGTGCAGGTCGTCAAAATGCATCAGCTCGTGTTGGTTCTCGTTGGGGGCGGCCGCCCATGCTGTCGTTGGTGGAGCCCAAAAGCGCTGTGATTGACGGACATACGGGCGCTTCAGGCAGGACTTTGGGGGTTAGCGGATGATGACCAAATGTAGAATGATGAAGCCGGGGGCTGTCATTCTGGATGCACAGCTTCGGGCGAAGTAGACGAGTTCATGGTCAGAAAAGCAAGCCGGTGTCGGAGCTTCGGTGACGATGACTTCTTGGTGCATTACGGCCGTAGCTGGCCATTGAAGTCGTTGATAAGCGTTTTGCAGTAGGTTACATGGCGATGCCGCTCAGCTGTCGGCCGGTAAGCACTTGTCTCTGAGTGACAAGCGTTGGCTGAACGTCGTCGTGCTCATTGGCTTTCTCTTGTCTTACCACCCTCTTGTCAAGCGGAACGGGTCGCTGGATTTAGAAAGCTGACCAAAAGTAGTAAACGCTTTCTGCGCCGGAGTTGCGCATGGTGCCTTGGGGCACAGTCAGACATCTCAATCCATCCTTCGGGAATCCTCTCAGGGTGCACCCCAAACCGCTGTACCGAACCAGACATCGAGCGCAACCCTTCCCCACAATCTGACACTCGCCGATCGGTGGACGGATGATGTAAGAACTTACCATAGGCAATCAAAGATTGGCAACCTCTAGGGCTTCCATGCTCGTCGAAACCGTGGGTTTTCAGGAGGTTCACCAGGCTGGCTGAAGCTGCAACATTGGTGTCACACAACCTAGGCCTCAGGTCGGCTTCGACAGGCATCTCCACAGCGACAATCAACGTCCAGCGCCGATGGTTTAGTGGTAAAATTCTCCGTTGCCATCATGAAGCGTCGGGGAGCTGGGGGTTCGATTCCCCCTCGGCGCAATCTTTTGCTTCTGGGCTCGTTTGAATTGAACTGATTTGTGTTATCATGGTGGGATAACTTTTTGCCCTTGAAACAAGCACGTACTTGAGTTTCTGCATGACTTTCTTCATTCATCTGGGCGCTCGCGTTTAATTCAGTTTTAACGTCATTTTCACCCTGTACAGATCGTGAACAACTCCAAATTCTTTCTCAAATATCGCACTTAGAGTCTAGATACAGTATCTTCGCCAAGAAGGTGCTTCATAACCTTCCCAGACCCTGTCCTCGGCAGTCCGTTCACGAAAACGAACTCTTTCGGTATTTTGAATCGCGCGATGCGAGATTGGCAATGCATGACCATGTCCGTTTGGGGGATTCGAGATCCAGACGAGGTAACAACATACGCCCGCCCAGCTTCACCCCAAGTCTCATCAGGAACTCCAACCACCGCGGCCTCCAAGATATCGGGATGCTCAGTTAGAATCGTCTCAACCTCCGCTGGGTAGACATTCTCACCTCCAGAGATGAACATGTGTTTCCTCCTATCGACAAGAAAAATGAAGCCGTCCTCGTCCGCCCATCCAATGTCACCTGTCCGAAACCATCCATCTGGCGTCAAACTCGCGATGTCTTCTTCCACATTGTTCCAGTAAATCGGATTTGAGATATCCCTAGATACGAGAACCTCTCCTATAGCCCCTGGTAGCAGTGGCTGACCCTGGTCATCAACAACGCGAATGGAAGTCAATGGACCTGGATGACCCACAGAGCCAGCTTTCTTGATGATCATCTCGGGAGAAAGCGGCATACCAGATATCGTTCCCATCTCTGTTGAACCATACCCATCAACCATACAAATGCCTTGGTCAAGCCACCACTTGATGCGCGCTGGGGGGTTGGGAGCACCTCCCGTGAAGAGGGCTTTGAGGGTGAGCCATGCTGACGGGTCAAAGTTAACTGCTCTACTTAGCGCCTCCGCCATCTGAGGGACACAGAAGTAATGTGTGATTCCAAGCTGGGGATCACTCAGGCGGCGATTGGTCGCTTCAGGGTTGAATCTCGGGGACACGAGCAGCCTGCCGCCTCGCATAAGAGGTGGCCAGATCTGCGCAATGAGACCCATGAAATGGAACATCGGCCCGTCACAGAGGAAGACGCATCCCGTATCGGCTTCTGTCAAAACGCTGAAGTCGAGAGTGGTAGCCAGTATGGACTGCGCAGTCAGAATCACACCCTTCGGCGTGCCCGACGTTCCAGAAGTGTAAAGAATAATGCTCGTCTCCTGTGACGACCTTGATTGGAGTCGGCGTCCGGGGTCTGCATTATCGACCTCCTCACAGAATCTAGAAAATTCAATGTGGCGGCAGCCAAGAGGTAGCTCGGGTGGGTCTCGATCTGTAAAAATGATTGTTGGCGTGCAGTCGTCCAACAGCTTAGAAAGCTCGGGCTGGGCCAGGCGCCAATTGAGGGGAACGAAGATGGCTCCAAGCCTCATCAAGGCCTGTTGAAGTATGATCTGATGAACACTGTTGATGCACATAGTGGCAACCCTGTCACCGGCCTCGACGGCGTATGCGGACAAGACCGCGGTTGCGCGCTGTATGTCGGCGTTGAGTTCCGCATACGTCCATCTTCGGTTGGTTGCGAGATCGATGCAGGCCAGGCTGGCCGGCCGTAAACGTGCATGCAGCAGGACAGGGTCTGGCGCAAAGATACCAGCCATTTTCTTTGCGGGAATCGGCAAAGCAGGAGAGTCCGGTGTGTTGGTTCGGGCGCGCTTTGTCAAAGGGAGGATCCGCTTCGGTGAGAGATTGCTGAAGAACCAGAGGCCGAGGGCGGATATTGTCGATCACCCGATTCTGCCGAATCTCGAGACTGCCTCGGCTGAAAGATGGTATAAACAAGTGCGTTCCAATGATGGCAGGAAGGGTGTAGAGATGACTGAGAATGAAGAAGAGTAAGCCCTGAGCCAACGGCCCAAATATACCTCATCAGCTGGCGGCAAGGCAGACAAGTGTTTCTGGACGTCGCCAAGTCTTCGGAGTTGTTGCCATTTCCTTCGTTCCTTGCCTTGCAGCCGATGAAGAATTTGACGAATGCGAAGAAATGAATAGCCAACATCGTGCAGCCCTTCCGGAATGCGGAGCCCCGGGGAGCCAGCTTCGTGCTGCCAACATGCACGTTGTAGGTGTGGTGTGTGTGGAGAACACAGAAAGCGTACCTCAATTTTGCTGCGCCTTTAAAAGTCGCAATCCTTCAAAATCCTACTGACCCGTGTCTTGCATTTACGCTAGATCAGATATGTACGCTTTTATTTTGGGCAATCTGCTAGGGGGCCCAATAGATCGTGAGAGTGACACTCTCTGCACTAGACTTGCCAACATGACCTGCACATTACGCCTCGGCAGCCAAGATTTGCAAAACTTCCAGCCAAAGGGCTGACTTCCCGGAATCGTCATAAGAATGCGTGACATGATCTGACCTAAGAATGGAGAAAGCCACAGGTTCTGGTTGCTATGTCGTCCAAACGATTGGTTGAGGCACATGTGCCTGCTGCGCCGCCGCAGCTGAACTTCCTCTTGGAGATGGGTGGGTGCCTGGGATTGCATGCAGTGATGCGAAGTTGATTATCCGCACCTGGTGAAGAAGTGCAGTGACTAGGAGAGACATGGGCGGAACTTCGGTGTATCGCGATGCCTCCATCGTTGCCGCTAACCGCAGACCCCCAGGTAAGAATTCCCTTCCATTGGTCTGCTCGGTTCTGACGAAGTCCGATCCGTTTTGAGGCTCCGGCATAATAAGATAAAGTGTGCAAGAGGTCTTCGGGGGTGGTGTCGTGTGATCCTTCGGCACTTCCAAAGTCCCAAACATATTACTCAGAGATTTCTGCGCCCAATACTGGACCCAATACGCCTGAGCTCTGTCATCAATCGCCATTATAGAAGTTTCGGTACTTCTGCACAACTTGAACAGCATGTGGACGAAATCTGACTCTTCAAGGCCTGTACCCGTTGATGATCAAGGTACAGCAACGGGGCTCTATGAGCCAATCGCTATTATCGGCATGGGAGTGCGGCTCCCCGGACATGTTCACACCCCAGCAGACTACTGGGACCTTCTATTCAATGGCAGAAGTGGACGGTGCCGCGTCCCCAAGAGTCGATACAATGTCGAAGCCTGGTATGGTCCGGGTAGACCCAACCATGTCCCAACGGAGTTTGGCTACTTCCTCGAGGAACTGAATCTAGCACATGTGGATCCTAGCTTCTGGTCTTTCACAAAACAGGAAGCTGAGCGCATGGATCCTCGACAGCGACTATTTCTTGAAGTTGCTTACGAGGCTCTTCAGAGTTCCGGAACCACAAAGTTCAGGGGTACCGATGTTGGCGTCTATGTTGGCACCATGGGCGACGACTGGAGTCAGCTTGAGTCTCGCGACGAGCAGAGCCTCGAGCAAGTTCGACCTGATGTATATGGAGATTATATCCTTGCAAACAGAGCCTCGTATGAGTTCGACTTGACCGGACCGAGGTGAGTCCAACACCGTGAGCCTTCATGAACTATCTGAGCTAAACTCAAGCTCAGTGTTGTGGTCCGCACCGCTTGCTCTGCCTCTCTTGTTGCACTGCATATGGCATGCAGGGACCTGCATGGAGGCGATTGCACTTCTGCCATAGTCGGTGGCGTCAACCTCATTCTTACTCCAAAAGATACGACAGTCATGCATCAACAGGGTGTACTGTCTCCGATGGGCTCTTGTAAAAGCTTTGATGCCGAAGCTGATGGTTTTGCAAGAGGAGAAGGCGTTTCTGTAGTCTACATTAAGAAGCTTTCGGATGCCGTACGGGATGGCGACCCCATCCGGGCGGTCATTCGGTCTACATGTCTGTCCGGCAATGGGAGAACCCCGGGTCTTACCACACCAAGTTCCCAGAGTCATGAGAGACTGATGAGACGAGGGCATCGGATAGCCGGTATTACGGACTTGTCGAAGACTGCGATGGTTGAGTGCCATGGAACTGGAACCTCTGTAAGTCTCACTGCTCTACCATTCTGGATGTGAAAATGTCGAGCTGACGGTCTTGTGTAACCTATAGGTTGGCGACCCTATTGAGGTCGGCGCGGTTGCCAATATTTGGGGAGATCACGGCATCTACATCGGATCGGTAAGGCAAACAGTGTTGCACAGTAATGTCCGATGCTCACATCAGTCCTAGGTCAAACCTAATATTGGTCATGGCGAAGGTGCATCGGGGTTATCCAGCATCATCAAAATGGTATTAGCATTGGAAAACTCGACAATCCCACCCAATATCAACTTCAAGACGCCTAATACAGCAAGTAAGCTTACTCTGTGCAATAATCAAGATGTGGCGAATGCTCATGTGTGGATCTAGTTCCTTGGGAACGTGCTAAACTGAAGGTGCCAACAACGCCTTTGCCCTGGCCATCAGATAGACTCGAACGAGCCTCTGTCAATAGTTTTGGGATAGGCGGTTCTAATGCGCACGTCAGTAGGTCCATGTCAAGTTGTTTGGTGAGATTCTGACCGTGAATCTAGGTTTTACTCGAGTCAGCTGCCTGTTTTGGCGTGCAGTCCTCTCGCCGTGTTCACGACCGGAACCTCAGAACTTACAACCATCGTCTTCTCACCTTCTCTGCGCGCCATATAGACTCGGTCAGCCGTTTAGCATCAGATGTCGAACGATATCTGGATCGAAAAACTCAACTCCTGGGAGATGTGGCCTGGTCTCTGAACACTCGACGAGAGACCCACGCGCATCGCGCATTCTGTGTAACAGACGCCAATGGCCCTTTCCAGATGTCCTCGATAACCAAGCGAAACAATAACCCGCCAAGCCTGATTTGGTTGTTCACAGGACAGGGAGCTCAGTGGGCTCAAATGGGAAAAGAGCTGCTTCAGCAGAATGTTCTAGTCCAACAGACTATCAATCGCTTGGACAGCGTGCTGGCAAGCCTGTCTGATCCCCCGCAATGGAAATTGAAAGGTAACTTTTCCCCTTGAAATTGAACACGCTCCAATACTGATCAAATCAGATCTACTTCTGGCACCCAAAGAGCAGAGCAGACTTGCCGAGGCGGAATTCTCACAGCCATGTCTTGTTGCCATCCAGGTCGCTCTTGTGGATTTGCTCAGATCATGGGGTGTCACACCCGATGCCGTTGTCGGACACTCTTCAGGAGAAACTGCCGCCGCTTATGCAAGTGGAGCAATCACAGCTGAAGATGCTATTCGCATTGCATACCACCGAGGTCAGATTACCCTGCTCATCAAAGCCGCCCATAAAGGCTCCATGGCCGCAGTCGGACTTGGTCGAAGTCAGGTTCAGAAGTTTCTCCGCCCAGGTGTTATGATCGGCTGTGAGAACTCACCCGCCAGCGTGACGTTGTCTGGTGAGGCAGATGTGCTTGAAGACGTGATGAAAGACATCATGGCCGAACACCCTGGAGTGCTAGCACGGAGCCTTCATGTTGAGTGCGGGTACCATTCGCGTGAGTTGCATGCTCCTTACTTCTTTCCAGCCACACTGACAGATATCCCCGGCAGAACATATGAAAACAGCAGAGATGGACTTTACAAGACGATTGGAGGGGTGGTTGCAGCCAGTTAAACCGAAAATCCCATTTTATTCGTCGGTCACAGGCATACTGAACAACGATATGTCTCACTCATACTGGGTACGAAACGTGGTTTCTCCAGTTCTATTCAGCACAGCAGTTGAGTCTGTTCTCGACGATTTCAAGTCAGCAGCTTTCGTGGAGATAGGTCCACATTCCGCCCTCGCTGGCCCTATACGGCAGATCTTGCACAGCAAGGGTCGGGTCGCTCAGTATGTCCCGACCTTAGTCCGCAATGAGGATGCGGTATCCTGTGTTTTGAAGACCGCAGGAGAGCTGTGGTCAGTTGGCGCTAGTATTGAGCTCGCCGCAGTTACACCAGCCGGGAACTTTCTGACAGATATACCAACATACCCTTGGCACTATGACAAAGAGTATTGGGTCGAGAGTAGACTTTCTAGATCCTGGCGTCTGCGCAAGTTTGACCATCACGAGCTGTTGGGCACTCGGGTTGAGGAGATCTCCGATGCTTGTCCTGCCTGGAGATGCAATCTCAGAGTCGAGGATGCTCCGTGGATCCGAGATCATATGATTCTCGGAGAGAACATATTTCCTGCAGCAGGATTTGTGTCCATGATTGGGGAAGCGTTGAAGCAACTGAAAGGGTCCGTCAACTACACCCTCGGGCATGTCACGTTTGATTCCGCTTTGGTGCTGAACGACCGTCCGGTCGAGCTCGTCACTGTTCTCAATCCTCCGCCACCCACGCCGTATCTGGATTCGGAATGGTACGAGTTCTCGATCTCTTCGCTTAGTGAAGGCGGTGACACTTGGGTCAGACATGCCATGGGCGAGTGCAAAGCTGGCTCTGATTCAGGCCACCAGGCCACAGAAGTTGTGAAGCTTCCCCGCAAGGTCTCCTTGGACTCCTTCTACAGTACCTGGAAGAGGTTTGGACTGGAATACGGTGCCAGGTTCCGCAACCTTGCCGATGCTAGCTCCCATGTTACCGAACCGACAGCCATTGCATCTCTGCAAACGGAATTATCAGACTACGAAATGGCATCCTACGCCATTCATCCCACAGCTCTTGATTCGAGCATGCATTTTGCGATGGTCGCATCATGTCGTGGTCTTAGCAAAAACTTCAAGCAGATGGCGATTCCTACATACATCGAGGAATTGTATGTTAGCAGACCATCAGGAAAGATACACCTCGAAGCGACAGCGACTGAGAACTCGTTGATGAAATTATCAAGCTACATCACTGGAGTATCTGATGGTGAAACTGTCATTGACATCAGAGGTCTTGAGGTGGAGCCTGTTGCTGGTAGCTCTGCCATCCAGGCCGAGGATCCCCATGCCGGCGCTATTGTGGAATGGAAACCCGACATTGACTTCCTAGACCCTTCTGTTATTTTTCGTCACCAAGACCTTGGTTCTTGCACCAGAAGCCTGGAGAAGCTGGTGCTGGCATGTATTGTGGAGTCTAGAGCGCAATTGCAGTTCCTCCCGGCAACGCAACCACATTTCGTCGACTTCAAGAGCTGGCTGGATGCAACATACCGACAGGCTGTGGCTGGAGAACACCAAGATCTTGCCAGTGCATTTGATATCGCACACACCTCTCCTCAGTTGAGACAGGCGCTCATCGCAGACATGCTAGAAGCTTGCAAGGGCACACCCACGGAAAGCCTTGCGCTGGCCGTCCATCGTGTGTACACGAATGCTGCAGCGTGCTTCACTGGCAGGCCAGACGCTATCAAGGCCATAGATTCTGCCATATCAATGGCTCAAAATGCGGAAACTCCTAGCGACATCGATCTCACATCTTTCCTTCAACTTTTGGGTCACAAGAGGCCGAACATGAATGTTCTGCACATCGGTGGTTCCGACGACACTGCCGCTACCATCAACAAGATATTGTCAGCTCTTTCATCTGATAGCTTTGGCGACCGTCTCTACGGAAACTACGTCTATGCCTGCACATCGTCAGAACCTTCTACTCCGGTGCAGGACTGTTTCCGAAATTTCCCCGCTGCCAAGTACAGTAATCTCAATACTGATGCTGACTTCATATCTCAGGGACTCAGAAACGAGTCGTTTGATGTGATACTTGTTTTTGATGCAGTATCATCTTCGAGAACCAATTTGAAGAAGATGCGCAAATTGCTGAAGTCTACGGGGCGTATAATACTCGGGCAGACAAATTCAGCATCAAGAACTTTCCAATATGTCACGGGCCTTCTACCACAGTCGATTTCGTTGTCGGAGAATCTGGAACTACAAAATTATCTTCGAGATCAGCTACAGCATGCTGGCTTCGATGGTAGTTCGGCCGCTACGCTCTTGGGCGATTATTCACGCATGACCATCGCCCGCCCTTTCTCGGACCACTGGAAGACCGACCGAATCAGCATCATTTGCGAGGACCCAGCCCATCATTTGGTCAAAGATGCAACAAAGGCTCTTCGTGGGCTCGGTGTAGATCTCGACTTCGTCGTCCTAGGCGAGGAACTGCCCTGGGGACAGCCAGTCGTGAGCCTCTTGGATCTTGAAGGCTCTTTCATCCATGGAATGTCACAGCAAGGATGGGAAGATCTCAAGAAGACCATTCTTTCGGCACAAGATGAGAAGGTGCTGTGGGTGACCGGGGCTTGCCAAATCGAATGCAAGAATCCGAATGATTCCCTGGTATTGGGCCTCGCCCGAACTCTTCGCAGGGAACTTTCGATGGATTTTGTCACCTTGGAGCTTGAGTCATTTGGCGCCAATGGCTGGAAAGCTATGCATACCATACTCAACAGCTTCGGACAGCGTATCAATGGAGGTGACTTGGATCCAGAGTCGGAGTATGTGTTTTCAAAAGGCTTGCTTCACATCAGTCGCTTCCATTCAGTCGAAGTCTCAAAGCTCTTGCAAGAGTCGAGTGAAGCCTCCAGTGAAGAGATTCGGGGTCACAAAGGGCTTTCTGAAGTGTCTGAGACCGATATGTTAGACAACTGCCATCTCCCGGCCAGCTCATTGACACCGTCCATGACCTGCCGCTCGGATCGAACCTATGTTTTTGTCGGTGGGCTCGGCGGACTCGGCCAGGCCACGGCAAGATTTCTTGTCGAGCGAGGAGCCAGAGAGCTCATTTTCTTTTCGAGGTCAGCTGAGCAGTCAGCTAAGGGTCATCCTGAGTACTTTGAAGAGTTGAGGGCTTTCGGGTGTGTTGTCCAAGCGATCTCTGGGAGTGTCAATGACATGGATGATGTTGCAAAAATGGTTCACTCGGCAAACCGTCCGATCGCTGGGTTGCTACAGGCAGCTATGGTTCTCCAGGTATGCTCACCCTTCGTATTTCCAATGCCGCCAAAACTGATCGAAACTGACAACCACACTACAGGATATCAACATCACCGACATGACCTTTGAACAGTGGCAAACAGCAGTTGACCCGAAGGTGCAGGGGACTTGGAATCTCCACAATGCTTTGCAGCAGCACCAAAGCGAGCCCCTTGACTTCTTCTTTCTTTTCAGTTCGCTCTCGGGTCTTGGAGGTCAGATTGGTCAGGCAAACTATGCAGCAGGTAACGCCTTTCTTGACGCCTTCGTGCAGTATCGCCACTCCAACGGACTGGCTTGCTCAGTTCTCGACATTGGCATTATGGAAGATATTGGCGTCTTAGCGAGGGAGCAGAATCGTCTTGAAGCCCTGCGGGCGACGAAGCAACATTGCCTGCACGAACAGGACCTTCTTGATGCTTTGGAGTTGATGATCAGACGGTCTCAGCCAGTATCCGAAGAAGAGATTCACGCCATTCAAAACGTCAATGGCTTCTCAAGTCGCGGTCAAGTTGCCGTCGGCATGAGATCATCAGCTACCTCCAGCAGTCGAAACGGATGGCAGAAAGATCCACGTTCGGGGTTCCTGTCGAATACAGGACTGACGGGAGGAACTGAGAAAAAGGGGGAAGAGGGAATCACTCTGAACGATTTCTTGAGAAGAAGTCACCTTCATCCGTCGCATCTTGAATCAGACAATGCAAGGGCATTTCTGGCTAAAGAGATTGGTGGGGCGTTGCAGGGTTTCGGCATGAGAGAAGATGAAGAGGTTGATCTGTCACGACCCTTGCAGACGGACTCTTTGGTGACGGTGGAGCTCCGCAATTGGATCCGGCAGAAGATGGGTGTTTCTTTCACCGTTGTGGAGTTGCGGAGTGCGGAGAGTATTTTTGCATTGGGCGAAATGGCTGCAGCCAGGCTTTTGACTATGGGCGACAGGAACACACACTGAGTGTCTCTTGAAGCCCTTCTTTATGTAAGATACAACCAGGCTCAACTTGGGCTCACTTGTGATTTATCCTTGGCATCTAAAATGGATTGATCCTCATACACCGCCACTGTTTAGCTGTGTTAGGAACAGCGAAAGTCATAACGCAACTGTGAAGGCAGACAATCGACGAGAGGCTTTATATCATACTTTCTGGCGTAACTGGGATTCTAGTCATTACGGGCTTTGCTACTTTCTTTCACCGACTCGAGATGCCACTCGCAACCCGAGAATGCTCACGGTCCCCACAGTTTCAGTCGAAATTGCATGATACATTATCCCACCGGGTGTCACTGAATTACAATCCACCGCGTGCGGAGCTCCAACTCGTCAGAGTAAATAGAAAACTTCTCTTGTAGCTGATCGAAAGCCGTGTAGTTGGGAGAAGCTAGAGAAAACCGGAGGTTCCTTGAACTGCAGCCCACTGGCACCCGATGGGATGACTAGGGAAGCTGTGATTCATTATCGCAGTCCTTGACTGAACTTAGTGCCCCTAGTGTTCGAGGAGACTGATACCCAGAAAAATAAACTTTGTTCAGTATTGCGCTCGAGATTCGGAAATAAGGCCATCTACCTGGACTCCTATGTCATTCATAAGTCAAGCAGAGTTTTGGACGCCGTGAGTCTGACAATATGTACGCTGTCCACGACAGCAATGATAGACTGAGGAGATTGAACACCTCGAACAGGGAACAACGTCGATGTAATCTTGACTACGTAGCTCAATAATGAGTACAATTCAATATCGTCAGGCATACGGCAAAGGCCTGAAAATAGATTCCATCCGGTTGGCGGTAGTCCATCACCGAGAAAAGTGCGGTGAAGGTTTTAGTCGACTCGACTGAATCATGCTGAAGCTAAAAATGTTGACTGGGGCGTCGAAAATTGATTAAATCATGGCATCATTGGAATTTGACCTTCTTATCACAACCCTCGCACGAATAATTGTGGAGTAATTGACCTCATACCGATGAGTTCGTGAGAATGGTGCCATAATTTTGAAGCCCGACTTTCTACTTTGAGTCTCTCAACATTATATAACCACAGGCAATTCCCAGCTCCAGTCTAGTTGCCATCCTCAACACCACTCTCTTCATTTCATTCATCTCTACGTCGTTTCCCAGACTCCATACCTTCGACCACAAGATGCAGTTCAACGCTATTCTCCTCACCCTCGGCCTGTTGAGCGCCACTGCTTCCGCTGAGACCATTCTCGGATGCTGGAACGGCCGATTCACCTGCGCCGGCGCTTGTATCAACAAGGGCGAGTGCAAAGAAATCCAGAGCAGCGACAACGCCTGGTGCTGCGTTGTTTGATTTAAAGAGCGATCAGACTCAATATCTCGACATTTGTAAGTAAATGCAGACGATGTCAACAAATAACGGACAAAGACTAACAGTTTTTACAATGCTCAGGTCCCCCCTTCATTCTCATATGAATCGTGTTATGGGATGGATGAGTTAATGGGATGTTTTGGCGCTGCGAGACTACCTACCAAAGAACCAAACGATACTGTACTTAGTCAACTACTGTTACAGTGCAGTCTCTACTGCTCTAATTGAAGGCTTCTTCTGAAACAAATTGACAACTGGTGAATTATATGAGCTCATTGTTACCAAGACACCCTAAATTTCAAAGTCGAGGTATGCTTCACCGTCTTGAGAATCTCGCGTTTGCGTTACGATTAAAATTTACATTTGACTTTTGCCATTTGATAACGACAGACAATGATGGCAGACAACGACAACAGACTATAATAGACGATCACAAGACGACGAATGATCATAATAGACCAGACTACATTAATGATCAGGACAACGTTTACGACAACAATGAGGATGATAACACCAAGAAAAAGTAACGATAATAAAAATAAGAGGAATGATTGGCTAATATGGTAGTCGTCCATCCGGTTAGCTAGAAGTACCCGCCTGGAAAGGGAATCTTATTCCCCCTTTGCATATCTGCAAGTTTCTTTCTTATGGCTCGTCGTATTGAATAACCTGGATGTGAAGTTGATGCGCTCTGGATTCAAATAATGGATGCAGTCATTGGGTGGCCCGGGCGGGTCCCAATTCAACTCAGCGCAGCCGCCAAAGCAACGCCAACAACGCAAAGTCCAACTAAGTCAAGCAAATGAAGCTATTCAGACCACCCAAATAAGTAAGCCAGCCCCCCCGATTTGGATTGATTGATTTGACTCATGACTAAGGCACTTTGACCAATGAGCGTGCTGGATTCCAGTCTCCCTCCGTCATATACCTCACCCTCCATACTTCACCCACCAGCCCCTTCATCCCTTTACTGATCGGTGATTTCTTTCCTTAACCTTCGTTGACGATATAAGGCGTCGTTTTTCCCAATCAAATAGCTGTATTTCTA